TTGTTGTCTGAGTTTCCGAGTGATTTCTGTTTTGTTGCTTTCGCAGTGGGTCCGTCTGTGGAACCGGGTTGGCTTCAGGCGACATATAAAGGCAGAACTGGCCTGATACCTGAAAATTACATCAAATATGTCTGACAAGGCTGACGAACCGTCGGCACATGAAAGAATCACAAAGACCTGGCTCAGATTTTAAAGGTTTATAAAGAATCAAAACCATGATACTGTAACTGTGACTATTATCACTGACTGCTGTGCTGCAGCATGAGTAATCGGCCTCCTGCATGCGGCGCAGTAGATGTTAATACTTGACATATATGGCTTAGCTTCTCAGTATCGCCCTTTTGTATTTTCTGTTCAGTAATTCTGAAAGTTATGAATTCAGTAAACATATGTAAAAGGTACATAGAAGCAGTATTTTTCTATTAATCTTGGTAATTTATGTTTGAAGGTTTCATTAGTCAGTCTAGAAATTCAATGTTCACACCTCAGTGCCTTGAACTGTATGATTGTTTTATATGTCCTCTCTGCCAGCTTTACTGCTGTTTAAATAAAAACAAAACCTTCAAATAGTATACTGTATGTGTGGATTCTGCTTATTTTTATTTATTTATGTCTGATATGTGGTATATTTATTTTTAAGCATTGATTTGTTTTTACTTAATACAAAAAGAAACTCTTAGAATTATAACAAACTATGACACATTGTAGGAAAACATTTAAAACACTGAAGAAACAGAAGTAAGCTGTTCTCAAAAGTATGCACATCTCTGACAATACCAGGATTTTGTGATGAAAACAGGAAACTTTGAAGACTGAATCCTGAAATTGAAACAAGAGGTGCTTCAAAACAGTTTTAGTTTAAGAGTGTGAAAGCATATGACATTCCTGGATTTTTTTTTTCTTCTAAAAAGGAGGAACTAAATTAGTTGATTTACCACAATCTATTGTTTTGCTTCTCCGAAACCTGCCATTTTAAAAAGGCTGCAGAAACTAATGAGAGCTAACCTGCAGCTCAGTTCCTGAGCTTTTGGGAATCATTTTCCCACCAAAACTCGACACAGAACCACATGTTATGTTTGACATTTTTAGGGCAAACTTAGAAGATTTTACTCTCATTTGCACATTTATTTGTGTAAAAATTAAAGTTCCAGAATGTTTTCAGTCATAATGAACTTGTATCTTTGTATCCACATCACTCAACTCTATAACCTGGTAATGCTTCTGCCCAAATGCAGGTCCATTAAGGTACATTTAAAAGGCACTTAGCAAGCTTTGAGTATTTAGAGGTTGAGCACTACGATGACGGCGTGCTGAATTCTCCCAGCCTCCTCAACAGTCCGTCAAGCGTCTCCATGTTCTGGGATTTCTCCTCCAGCAGCTCATATCTCAGGCTCGAGATGTCCTGTTTGATCTCTTTCAGCTCACCTGGACCAGAACAGATGCAACCAAGAATAACAATGAGGTCTGAGGTTATAGTATGATGCAGGTATGGATACATAAAATGGAAAATAAGACCAGATCAAAGCAATCAGGAATGGATAATTGCAGACACTTATGGCTGGGGCAGTGTTGCAATGACTGCACTAAAAAATTTAAAACTCAGTGTTTTTAATAGGAAAATAAATCACAAAGTAATAATAATGACAAACGCACAGAGCTTAGTTTATATTACCCTCTGTGATCTCGTCGCTCTCTCTGTCTGCTTGAGCTTTGATTATATAACGCTTGATTAGTCGCTTCATGATCTTCTGCAGCGAGTGAAGGAAAAGATGGGGAATATAGCATCATTATATAAGAAAATAAAGTGAAAATTTACAGAGGTTAATTTCATACAATATATAATAAAACACACACCTCATATCTTGTTGAACCATTTGAGCCGCCATATCCTGGATTTTTGCTCTCCCCAAGCTGCGGAAATAACTCATATATATGTTATGTAATTTGATTTAACTTAACTGAAATGACAGTAATTAATTTAACTTTGATCCTGAAGGAATGCTTAATACCACTAGAGGGCGCCAAAGATTATTTCATTTACTTTTCAGCCGCTGAAGCGAAAAGAGTATAAGTTCAAATATGTTTACAACCACAACTTTAATGTAGTTCATTTAGATTTATTGTGATGGATACAATTATTAATTAGCTATAATAATTAAATAAATTATATGTGGGTTTTTAAATGCTTTATGTAAAAAAAAAAAAGTACATCACTGAACAAACAGCGTAAAGGAGATCAATGAATACTCCAAAGCTGCTCGAGGTTCAGGTATAATCAATATTCAAAAAGTATAAACCTGCTCATGGAGGACGCAGCTTCAGTTAAAATAGCAGAGAGAATATATAGATATAGATAGATAGTTGTTCACTCTGCATATCTGTGCTTTCTGGAAGAGTGGCAAGAAAACATAAACTTTAAGGAACATAAATACTTTAACATATGTTTTAAGTCATTATATGTTGAATATGTATACCTGATTAAGTTGTGTCTCAGTTTTCTTCTCCCTGTGTCTGTGAGCCACATGCAAGAGCATGGACTTTATGGCTGTGGCCAGTCCCAGCACAGATTTTGGACTGGGAACCAGATTGAATGGGACAGGGAGTGTCCTTCCCTCTTCAAAGTAAGAAAACCAAAGTTTTGCCCGAGCAAACTTCCACTCGACATCGGCATCATCCTGCAGAGTAACACAATGGAAAATGAAAAAAAAAAAAAAAAAAAAAAAAGCAGGGCTAAAGTAGTCAAATAAAATATCTTTTGGGAATAAATTAATTCATAATCAGATTTAGAAAATTAATCAGATGTCATAATCAAATGACATGTAACAAAGGCAGAAATAAACAAATCTGTTGTATTAAGTAATTTGGTGTCATTGCGAACATTTTACATCCATATTTAGAACTGCAAAAACAGTGGAAAGGTTCGGGGAGAAAAGAGAGATGGCCAGAAGCAAAACCCAGAAATTTTACAACATACTGAAGATCCAGTTATGCACTGGAGGACTACACAATTCACTGAAAGCTAGATTAAAACACTGATAGCAGTCAGATTGGTTGTCTTTTTTGGGGGGGAAAAACACACACACATCAGCATCGCTTAAAGGCTGGAAACTTCTGGTTTGTTTGTCCAAAGATAACAAAAGCAATTTATGTGATCATCTGGACAACAAACCTCAGCTATATCTGGACACGGAGCTTCTGGAAGGCCAGACTGTCGAAACCTGCTTCTCTTTCTTGGTTTTGTTTTTTACACCACTTTGCAAATTTGTTCAAACAGCTTGAGCAATTCTTTCAAATTCTGGCATAGTTTATTGAGATTTCATGATAGAACACACGAAGTAGTTCTGATTTGTGAAATGGAAGATAAATTAAATATGGCTTCGATTATTTTTACACATAAAACTAAGAAAAAAGTGGCGAGTTAAAACAGCTGCGAGTCTTTTCTGTTTGGCTCGACCATCGTTGCACATCCAGAGACAGAAACGTCTGGACTTTGACTGGGCCATTCTCACACATCAACGTGCTGTGATCCATTAATCACAGTAACTCCACAGCATTACGCTGCCACTACCTTGCGTTCAGTTTGGTTTTTGCCATATAAATAATTTTGTCTGTTTGTCAAAAGGTTCCCATTTTGTTTTAATCTTCCAAAAACTTGCTGGATCTCAGACTTCCAACAAAACTTCAATTTTTTAGTTTAGGCTGTCTGTGAGTGAATACATGTGTGTATCTGTTAAATATATTTATGTTCAGACAGAGTTATGTGCAGTACAGCATCTAAATTAATTTTTATGAACACAAAGAAAGTTTATTATACAAGAGAGTGCAAAAAAAAACCCAAACACATGACTTCATATTTATAGGCTCATACCTGGACCACATGGTAACGTAATATACTTCAGTGACGTACCTCTATCTCCTGGAAGGAGCTGTTAATCATGGCGATGAGCATGTTGAGCAGCACTATCACCATGGTAACGTTGTAAACCCCATACAGTACGTAGCCAATGTTCTCAATGAACTTGTGTCCATTGTTTATGACTACAGACTTGACCTCAGAGAGTCCAAATATAGCCCAGAACAGCGTCTTGAAGCTCTCCTCCAGGCTACATGAACATACAGAAGCGAACGTTTTTAATTTAAGCAATCTACTAAACACGAAAAAAATAATCCAACAGCTGGAAACCTTTTTCCAATATACTCTCTAATATCTAAATACATCTAGAAAAGGTAGAAGCAAAGCAATAATTCCTAAAAGAATAAGAATGAGAAGGAAAGACTAACATTCTTTGTAATTTTCTTCCGCTATTATCAAGGTTGTTGTTTTATTGAAGTTGACAAATATTGCTGCATTGTGGTATCTTCACTTTTTTTAACTTCTTAAAAGTGATGCTTTCTTAAATATACTTTATTACTGTTCTTTTTTCTTTTTTTTGCTTTTGTTTTAAATGTATTTTGTTTGAGTATAACTTTGTTTATTCTTTAATTACACTCCTTTCAATAAAGTCAAACACAAAGTCAAACCTAAACTCAAAACTCTGATGAAAACAGGTGTATTTTAGAAAAATGTTATCTGGTCAAATCAGATTTGTTAAAAAAAAACAACAGATCACTGCAGCACTCTTATCGAGAAACTAAAGAGGACAACATAGTTTAAGCTTTGTTCACAAAACATTAACCAATTTAATTCAGAAATAATCCTGTTTTAGCCTCTTTCTTCAATAAAAGCATCACTTTCAGTGTGAAGTAATTCACAAGTAGGAGAATTATGTGTGCATGAAAGTCTCACGTGGTGAAGGCGTCATTCTGCTTCGCTCCCAGGTAGTAAGAGTACAGGTTGAACATGCCGATCATGAACGCCAGAAAGACGAGCAGGAAGATGACCATGAACTTGAAGATGTCTTTGACGGTTCTTCCTAAAGAGATCTGGAGCGGCCCGAAGCTCTCGTTGGCTGGCAGGATGTAAGCAATCCGAGAGAAGCTCAGCACGACTGCGATCGCATAAAGGCCCTCCGACACGAGCTGCGGATCTGACGGCGTCCAGTGGATACGAGCTGCAAAACGGGCGTAAATCAGCTGGTAAGCATCAGGATATCTGCTGCGAATGAAAACCTGATTTGTCTTCAAGTGGAAATGTGACTGCAGTGCTGTGACAGCAGCCATGATTAAAATTCATTTTAGTTTTAGTAACTAAAGCAGAAGGGCTTCGAAAGCCATAACTACTGTAACTTATTTTGCTGAGCAGCAGCTCTACTTCATGTTACAATGAATAAACTTTAATGTTTTGAATTGAGATTTTACGTGATGAACCAAGACAAAATTTTGCATAGTTGTGACTGGAAAAGAAAATTAAGATGATTAACATTTCTTGCAAAAAGAAGTCTGAAAAGTGTGGTATGAATTTACTCTTTAGCCCACCTGAGTATGTTTAAAATGTCTTAAATTCATTGAAACACTATAATTTTGCCTTAAATACATTAGTTTTATGTCTTAAATTTTGTCGTGGCTGGACTATTTAATCTCATTTACTCTATGTAGCTAACTTTTGTCTTGCAAGACTTTACAGTTACCCAAAACTTTGAGTCTGGGTTCTCTGCTTTCTGTGACTCATGGCGCAGCTAGCTGCTAATAACAAGCTGCTAATATACTCTTGCTAGCAAGCTAGCCAGAAAGGATTAAGCTATCTAGCATTATTGGTAAGTGCAAATTTATTGTCGTACTTCAGTTGCCAGCCCAAATTTACTTATTTACTATTTTCTTTTGTAAATTTTTGTTGTGATAAAGGTCTTAAATTCTTCTCATAATGGTATTTAAAAGGTCTTAAATTTGAATTGGTGAAACCTGCAGAAATCCTGCTGAGTCAATTTTTTGTTCAATAAAATTGCAATTGCAACTATTTTGGTCTCCACCAGCTTTAAAACTCTAGAAACTTTTCATTCATTCCTCTCTGAAAACTTCTTAGTGTTCTCAACTGGATTTAGTTCTTGACTTTGACTTGGCCATTCTAACATCTGACTACGCTATTGTAGCGCTAGCTGAATGTTTAGGGTTACTGTCCTGTTGCAAATTTACCTCCATCACATCTTAAACCTTTTGCAGCTTCAAACTGGTTCCCTGAATTTAGCAAGAATTGTCCTAACTTTTAACTGGTGAGACTAGATGTGTGCGTGTGTGCGTGTGAGTGTGTGTGTGTGTGTGTGTGTGTGTGCGTGTGTGTGCGCGTGTGTGCTTACCCAGAGTGAAGTAGTGTATCTCTGGGGGAAGTTGGACCAGAGTTTTGCAGTGTTTGTACACGTAGGCCTGAGCCAAGTCAGCTTGCTTCATAGCAGAGAAGCGGCAGCTGAACGAGGCCAGGAAAATGGCCAGCATCCCAAAGTCCAGGAAGTTCCACGGTTCCACCAGGTACTCTCCGGGTCCCTGACTCCAGATCTCCTTCACCTCGGCCCAAATCATGCCTACAGCAGCAGATGTTAAAGGTCACATCCTTGTTTTAACATTTGCATTAGTTGTTGTTTCCATATGTCGTCGTCTTCCGCTCACCCATGACCCATGAAATGATTAGGATCTCCATCCAGGTGAAGGGGGTGGTGGTCTTGCGGTGAAGCAGTAGGGGGTCCAACTTGAGTTGTGGACTTCCAGGTTGCTGATGGTGGGTCATGTTAGGCAACACCGTGGTGCCTGCAAAGCGGTCCGCTGCATTCAGGATGAGCAAGCCCAGGAAGATGGTGAAGGACGAGGCGTGAGCGACAAACTTCATGAAGGGGCTGCGCATAACTTTTCCCACCTAAGAACAGAGTGGAGAGCATGAGAGAGCCGGTGGCTTGTGGGTAAAATCTACGCCTGAATGTTGCATACTCTGCTGCACGGAGTGACCCAGTAAGCCACAGCCAGTCCAGGGAGTCCGATAGCCACAGCCAGGACCACCAGCAGCTTCACAGCGGTGGTTTGTTGTCTCAGGCCGGGCAGGTTCTCGTACCAGATACTCAGCAGCTGCTGCTGGCAGTTTGGATGAGCAACGAACTGGAGGAAAACAGAGCTGGGTTAAAACATCGTCAGGCAGCTAAATTCAAAAAATTCACAGTAAATGTGATGTTAAATCATCTTACGAGACAAACAAATCCTGTTCATGTAACGTTAGATGGAATCTAATTCAGAATCAATCCAGTTCTTTCCAAAGTAATTTAGTCACAAACAGTGAAAACTAAAGTGTCTTCTAGACGCCAAACAGTGCAAACAACGTGCCTTATATCCTGGAAAATACAGTATGTTGCACTACAGTCAATTTATGAGGATCGTTTAACAGGAATTGGTGAAAAGTTCAGAGTCGACTTAGATGTTTAAAGAGCATTTATTTTGTTTGTTTTAACAGAGAGCAAATAAAGAGGCGATAAAACTAAAGAGAAAAACTCCATTTCTGGATTTTTTTTTTTTATTTTTGGGAGACTTCCTGTTTAGTTCAGCCGTAAAGTAACAAATGTGTGGACTATTTTTTTCTATGTCTCTCTGGGCTGGGATATTTCTATTTTTGGCAACACCACACAGATGGTGATGTCCTTGAAATCTGCCTAAAATAGGATTTAAAGGTCATCTCCTGGTCAAAGATATAACCAAGGGTCTTTACATTGATGAATAACCTAAATAAATGTCCTGCAGAGAAAACGGTCTGCACATAATCCACAATAACAAAGACCTATTTTATTACTCGAGGTGGCAGGAAAAAGAAGAAAGTTCTTGACGTTTCTCATTACGAAGAAATGAAGTGCAGAACTACTGGGAAGTCATTACAGGTCCCTCCCATGACCACATCCATCGTTCTAATAATCAGATCCACTTCAAAGTTCTGACCGCAGAATATTTCTGGGACACCACAGAAGAAGAATGTTCTGCCAGGAAGAAGTGTCAAGAACGAGCTGCAAGAACTCCCCAACCAGAGCTGGAAGAACAGAAAGATGTCATTTTGTTGGTCAGCAATTAGTATTTTCTTTGGTCTGGACGGATTTTAATTGAAATTAAAGATAATTTACTTTTTTTTTTTTTGTCAATGTATTTTATTTTCTGTTTGCTTGAATCAAAATGGTTCTCTTCTCGAGAGAATCTGCATATGAAAAACACAAATAGAGTAAGGAATTAAATATTTCATTCTTGAATTCACAAATGTCAAAATACTGCTTTAAAAAAAAAGACAAAGTTATTTTCTTTAAAATAGACAGATCCAGAATGAGATAGTTTCCACTAATGCCTCAAAATGATTTTCGGAAATCACATTTCAAGCTTCAGATGAGGGAAACTACCAAGCTTATCGGTGCTTAGCACCATCCATGTTAGGAGAGCATTGTTGCAGATTTTGTGCAATCCACCAAATCGTGGGAGCAAAACATTTGTTAAACATTTCGCACTGCTTGGTAAATTCTCCTGACATAACAGATCCTGATAACACCACTGAAAGAAATGAGCTCTATTTATGGTCTTTGTTGTTTGCTTGAATGCCTGGTTACCTTTTTGAGTTCGTATTTGATGGCTAATTTGAGGCGTGTGAGGGAGGGACGACCTGGCATGTCGAAGCTGTCGTCAGAAACGGTTTCTCCATTCAAGATGGCCTCCACTTCCTCTGTGCTGCGGCAAAGATCCAGAAGACCCACCACATAGTCCTTACACTGGTTCGACAGGCGACTGTAATCATTCTGCAGAAAAATAAGAACATAAGCTGAAGTCATTTTAAAGCAGCAGTAACAAAGTAACAAGTGTGGTAGGAACGCAATTGTGATTTATACTTTTACAAATACTGTGCTCATTAAATCACCTTATTTTATGGACAAAAAAATCACAACCAAGATTTCAGATGTTTCATCTCAGTTCTGTTTTACTCGTTTTATGTAGTTAGTGTTCACTTTACATAGTGAACTATATTACTCTTTTTTGTTTTTGTAAAATGAACAAGTTTAGTTTTAGCCACAAAGTGTTTCCCCACACCTCAATCAAGTAACTAAAATATGGAGGAATAAGTGAAAGTCCAAAACAAAATTGGATGCCAAGATTGCAAAGCATCCCAAAAATTCAGTTTATGTATTTATGTAAATTCAGTTGCTATCGAAACTCTAAGTTTTACAATGGTAATTTAATCATCTATTGTTTTTTTCTTGTTGGTTAAAAAAAACAAAAAAGAAACTATACCTTAGTGTCACTAATATGTACATGAAAACATTTAGGTCCCAACACTAAACCTTGTGGGACTCCATCTTTAACGTCTTCATTATTAACCTGCATAAACGGATTATGATCAAACACTTATGAGCAAAACGTCTTTTCCTTTTCATATAAATCCGTCATTTTTAAAGTAACAAAATGTAATCTTTATTATCAAACACTTTTATAAGTGTAAATAATCTTAATCTGTACTGCTTTCTTTCTGTTCCTGCTGTATGTCCTCAAGTAAATTCAAGATTCAAGTACTGAAAATTATGGAGATCTGTCAGTTCAAAATAATAAAAATTAAAAACAAAATTTTCACATACAGCACTTTAGAAACTTTATAGTGCAGACAGCAAGAACAATTTCAAACAGAACCGAAGCCACTAATGTAACCCTGACTTGACCAGTACAGCTTCACTGACAGGATATTTTTCCACTGACCTTAAACTCCTTCTCAATATCAGCCAGCATGGCCAGCTCATTGCTGAGCTCCAGGGCAGCCAGCACCGGGTCCTCACTGGACAGGGAGAGGTATGCAGGACTGGCCAGGCCTCTGTAGGCATTGATCCTGGAACGTGAGTGGCTGAAGGAATCGTACTGCTGCTGATAATTGCACGAGTCGCAGCCACAGAAGTAATCGTGAGGAGGGTCGATACGGGCGCCTTTGCTCAGGAGCGTGTGGACTATCTCATATTCCTGGCAGTGGGCTGCAAGTATCACTGGAGTCACATCATGAGAAAACCTAAGGGGATAAACATGACAACAGCAATGTTTTCAGTCCACCAAGAAGTCGGCCTTAACTAGGCCACCTTGGTAAAAATGTATATAAATAACATGTATATACATTTTTACCAATGTAAAATTTGAAAGTTAAAAAAAAAAGCGTAGCTTGCATGTCCGGTTCACCTTTTGCTGTATTTATCTGCAGACTCAAAAACGGTGGACATATTTTGCTGTCAGATAATTTTTTTTTATTTGCACTGTAATATCTGATTAAAAGAATAACTCAGATTGATGTAGTCTTTTTACCCCCTCACAAATTTCAATGGTTTTTGCTTTTTTTGTCAGTGGTTGACCTCATTATGGTGCTTCTTTACCAGTCGTACCTTGTCCCATCTTCGTCATAAGCGTAGAAGTCATCCAGCATGTCTACTTGAGCCGGACTTGCTGTGAGACGGTGAGCGTCTCTAAACGAAGGGTGACTGAGGAGAGCCTCTGTGATACGGACATAACCTTTACCTAGAGAAAACGTAGAAAAAAGCTGCTAAAACATTGTGACACAAAAGTAAAATTTAGTTTATATCCAAGCAAAATGCAAATTTGAAAGTAAAAAAAAAAGCGTAGCTTGCATGTCTGGTTCACCTTTTGCTACAACTTGTGGTGGAAAAATCTATTACATGGTAAATTTTATATAACTTTTTAAATCTGATAGTCATTTTATTACTTAAGAACTTTTATCAAATCCACAACAAGTTATAAGTGTTTTTGGGTCTGTCCTTAACTAACAGCTCCAGACATCTAATTAAATTTATGTAAATTCTTCCTCTTAGTCAGATGAGATTTAGATGTGTGTTAGGATTGTTGTTCTATTATTAACCCCCACTGCAGTGGCACATTTTGTAGGATTTTGTAGTAAAAGTATTATTTTAAAAAATCATTAATTGTCATGGTACGTTTGTTGGTGGACCTAAAATGCAGACAGGAGTTGGGAGCATTGATCATGTTGAATGTTTTTAATGACAACATTGAAAACTTACAAAACTGACCGGGAACGCAGGGAGCCAGAGCAGAACAAAAACAGAAATCAAGGGGAAATACCAGCAAGGAAACATGAGGAGTAACAGAAGAACCAGTGATGAGTGAATAAAAGAGGAAGAGAAGACTGGGAACTAGGAAATTAATCTAAGACAAAGTAAACTAGAGTAACTAAGAAAGACACAATAAATAAAAATAACTAGAATCACTAAAAAGGAACTGAAGTGAAAATAGAAACTAACAAAAACACTCAAAAATCCAAAATCCTAACAATTAACTTTAAGGACATAAAAAGTAGTAGAAGAAGACACTGCTACACCCCTTTGTTATCATAAAAGACACATTATTTGCTTCAGACATAAAATTTCCAAGCAAATTTTTGTTTATGCAAATTTCTTACTGATGGCTAGTAGGAGAGCATCTCCCACTCTGGCCAGATCTGCCCTCCCCAGCAGCAGCTCCGTCACCTCCAGATGTTCGTTGGCCACAGCAAGCTGCAGCGCATTCTGTCCCATGTAGTCCACCGCATTGACGTTCAGGTTGGGGATATGGAGCAGCATGCGGCGCACCTCTGGGATGTTGCCGTACTCGGCTGCCTCCAGGAAACGCTGCTCGACCTCTGACAGGCTGAAGGAAGGAGCTGAGAACATGTAGGCAGGACCTCGCATAGCCTGGCGGCGTTTAGCAGCGCTGAGGCGAGCTGTGAGCGACCTGTCAGCGCTGCTGTGCCTGCTGGGGATCAGGGAGGCATACGGTTCATGTCAGGATGTAATAAAATGGATCTGGTCTCTGCCAAGTTTTAACGCTACTTAAATCTAACTCTGAGAGAGAGAGGCCAATCAAAGCCCACACTGTCAAAGTGGAAAAGCTGGGAGTAAAAAGCTTAAAAATATATATATTAATTGTTGAATAGATTATTGTCAGTCAGTGGGACTCTAACAACAAAAGCAGGAGTTTGTCGTCTAGTGCACACAGGTGTATGTTCACGCAATGTCAGGGTTGGAAAACATCAGCAATGACTTTCAGAGGGTTAGAAGACCATTTCCTGTCAAGCTAAAGTCCATCATTCTGCATTCAGAGAAATTGTTCAATGGTGGAAAACATTTAGGGCAACAGATTATTTCAGCAAAAGTGGAAATCCTAGCAATTTCTCCCAAAAGGTTGAGAAAACTATGCAAAACAACCGTCTTATACGCTACACATCAAAGTTAATGGTAGAAAAAGAGAAAGAAGGAAGATTGACTGAAAAGGGATGCTAATAAAAGAATGTGAGCACATGACTCAGATTTCTAAAACTGCATCTAATAGAAAAACAGAAAACTTCTGGAGTGTTCTCCAGAAGAACTTCTAAACAACAAGAAAAATGAAAAAAGTTCCAGTCAGACCAGACCTCAGTGCAGCAATACCTTCTTTTCCATACAGATGTTTACTGTTTGTTTATCTGAGTAGTGGCTGTAAGTCAGAGCCTTACCCAAGGCATTGCCCAGCACAGCAGTATTCCTCTCCAAAGTCATCATATAGGAGCAGGTTGTCGCGGCTCCTGGCTCTGGATCTGTCCGTGTCGCCGGCAGCCCGGCTGATGCGGTCGGCCGACGGCGGTCTGTGGTTCATCCTGGAGGATGACCAGCAGCAGAGGCTCCCACTTCATGTGAACAAGCAGTCAAGTGCCTGTGGCATGTTCCTGCCTCACTCGCTCTGCCGCCCTCCCCCTCTGTTTATTCTCCATCCTTGAGAAAGAATGCGTCCTTCTGGGTCCCACTATACTTTTATTTACATGACACATTGAACCTCACAGATGTGGAAGGATCCTGGAGGGTCAATTTCTGATCAACTTGTTTTCTTTCATTTCAGCCATCCATGGACTCCTCTCTCTTGTTTTCTCTCTCTCTCTTAGCTTGACCTTTGACTTTGCCTTACCTGTGGAAGGATTAATAAAGTTAAATTCCAGAAGAAAAAAGATTCCTTCCTCTTAATTTTTTATACAATAAATACTTTTTTGTGTGCGTGTTCGAGTGCATGCATGCATGCAGGAGTGACTGATGGCTGATGAACTGCAGATGAGATTCTTTCGGGTTTAAATTCCCAGTAGGCTTTGCTTCCTGTCCGCTCCTACTTTCCACTGATCTCTGTCAAGTGTGGGAAAACAAACACACACACATAAACATATATTCCTGAGACATGTAAATTAAATTTGCGCGTGCCGTTTTCAGTAAATTTTCTCTATTTTGGAAAATCGTTGCCTCGTCTCTTGACTGGAGCTCGTTCTCGTTAAAAGTCGCGAGGCACTAAAAAAACAACAACCTAAAAGCTGAAAAGAATCTGATAAAACCGAGCCTCTGATGTCTGATAGTCAGAGAGAAAACTGCCTTTTAAGGTGCTGATTGCTGAAGATTAGTCACTTTGGACATTTCATGCTATGAGAGCGTTAGGCGGTTTCAAGGAAAAGGTCTAAACACTGACGAATGTCACCAGTAAGAGTTTTTGTTGAGACTTCCTCCACAGAGCAGAACAGAGCCAAGATCTGGATGTAAACACTGTCAACCCAAACATACACAGTCTGATTGGGGGGAACACAGAGTGCAAAGCACCTGGATGAGCTTCGTTCTCTATCTGTGTCTGCCCGTGGATTGATGGATGCTGCCAATATATGCACATACCAGACCACACAAAGAGCCAGAGCTCCTACAGTGTTATCAGCTGCGTTAATAAACCTTTATCACGCAAACGCACACAAACAGAAAGTAAATTACGTGATCCTGCGTGCAGAACCAAACAGGAAGACAGAGGTGGGATAGTACCGAGAAGAATGCAGACTCCTCAGATGAGCATTCTGGTCTTTGTTTCAAAGCTAAAGTAACTCATGTGCTTTCACACAACAGCTCTTCTTTTAGGTTGAATATACGCACCAAGCTGCTCAGTGCAATGCAGTAAAAGATAAATAATGCTGTAAAAAAGCAGCTGAAACCTTATCGGATTTTTATATTCTTCCTTTTTTTGTCATGTTCAACGTTTTCAGATTACCAAACAACCATTGACACCAGGCTGATATAACTTCTGTTAATACAAGAACATTGTTCAGTTACGAAGGGAAAAAGGTGAATCTTACGTTAAAAAAAGTTTTATATCCAGATCTGCACAAAATCCAGTGTTACTTAAAATGGGACCTGAAGTGAATGCATTCGAATTTTATCAAAACATCTGCTAATTGAAAGGTGCACCCAATGCTTTAGAAATCTGGTTGCAGCCTTTTCAGACTGATGGATATCAACCTGTTCTTAAATGTCTTTATATCGGGGCGTGACGTGTAGCTACTGAAATATTCTGTCCTATTTTATGCTGACTCTTTTTAAGGGATTTTTTGATCCTACAGATTGTTAAATAAGGACAGCTTACCAGTGACATGGTCAATCACTGTTCATTCATGATTTAATAAAGGTGTATGGTTTCTTTTTTCAGACAAGACCAGATCAGTTTGAATATGTACCTGAACTGTGCTTTGTATTTACTCAGATTATCTCTGATATTAATTTTCTTTTTAGGATCTCAAACATTTATGGAGGGGTTTTTTTTTTCATATCTAAAAAAGGTGTTTTCTATTTACATTGGAAAGCCAGATGTTGAGCCTTCTGGATATGCGGCGGTAAAAGTTGTGCTAACATTGAGCTCTGTAAGATTTCAAATAAAACTTTATGGTCCTTTAGCCCTCTGATGTCACACCTCTTACATAACAGACGCTTTAATGGAAAAGCTTTTGTAAACTAGGACTTAAATGGATTAACTTTAAATAATAACTACGTCTTCTTTCTGTTTTTTTTTGTTTCAATAACAATAAGAACCTGCTTGGTGTAGACTGTGTGATAAAGAGTCCGTGTATGTGGGTCATTTTGTATGTTATCAGCTGAGGATCTCAGTACAAACATAAAAAAAATTTTAAACACAAATTTTAACCACTATTGCTGAACGTTTCTTAAAACTCAATTCTGATTCTTAATTGTTTGTTGCTTTTTTTGTTTGTGCACTTAAAATGTTTAGATTGTTGTCATTAGCACCACCTGCTGGACTGAATTGGTTCTTTTCTTAATCAAAATCTGTTTCACCTGTTGCTGCGTCTCTCAAATTACAACCGCAGTAAGTACACGAAATAACTTTTATGTTAAACACAGTTTAAAGACATTTACTCTTAGTTGTAAATAATGACAGTGTTCATTTTATTTTTTAATAACTGCACTAAAGTCAGTAAGAACTGTAATTTATAGTATCACTTTGCTGTTCTGTTTGGGTAATTTTAACACAGCTAATTCCGTAGATTTTTCTCTTCTTTATCTGATTTGATCAAATATATTTAATTTAATATTATTTAAGTGTTAGACTTTTAATTAAGTACTAAAATAGTGGAAGGTTCACCCTTCATGTCAGGTATAGACAGTGAATTTTTAGAAATTATTTATGACTTCCTTACCGTCAAACTTTCAACAAAACTTAATCTACAACATATACATGCAGAATGACTTTATTGTCCACTTGTAATATGTAAAATCTTAAAATCATATTAATAAAAAACAAATATAAAAAGCTTTGGCTTGACTTTTCATTTCCTCTTGATGAAGAAGTAAATAGTGACGGGATTCATGTTTGTTATTGCAGTTTTTCTTATCTAACTTTTAGATTCAAATATAACAAATAAAGACATGTTACATAGAAACATTTATGGCAATTACAAAGAACAAGCACAATTTAACAAAAATCACAGAATTCATGTGCACATCAGGGATTTCTACTTGTAACGGTGGTTAATTGTTAATGGCATTTGTGGCAGAGTTTAATGCATAAACTTGTCCTCTTCAGACAAAACAAAGTTAGCTGTAGTCATAGTTTAAGATCATATTTATAGTAAATATAATTTAGCACTAAATAACAATACTTTTGCTGAACTTTGAGATAATCTTCCATAACTTTTGCAGAACTTCGAAGAGACTTTTCCAAAACTCATCAGGTACTTCCATGGAATTTGAATGGAAATAAAGGAAAAGCTCCATAAAATGTTTGAAAAGTACTTAGTAGATGCCAGAAAAGTTCCAGAAAGTATCTCAGGAGTTTCAAGAAAGCTTGATTAAAAAAGCCCGTAAAAGTATCTGCCAAAATTCATGAAAGTTTCAGAAAGTATCTGCTAAGTTTTAGAAAGGGTCTTTGAAAGTATTATCTAAATTCAAGTGTAAGTTGTAATATTTTGCACTACCAAATATTTGCTGTGTTAGTAAAATTGTCGGAGGCCCATCAATGCTTCATCCCTCCTAATTAGGTGTCAGTTGTTGGTTGCAAGCCTTCTGATCTTCATCGTAACGGATTTGATGGCGTAAGGGACTCCACTCTGCCTCCAGGTGTCCCAAAGGATGCGTGTCCTCTTCCCTTGGTTCTGTTCCCCGTCTTCGGGGGAGCCGTTGAGGTTCGCCAGTCCGCACTGGTTGAACCACCACCCTGTGTGGTTGTGCAGGATGCTGCAACTCTCCACCGTCCTGTTGGCAAAGCTGCATGACGGATTGCAGCCGTCGTTGTCCACATCTGAGGCGCTAAATGGAGCTGTGTTCTGGTTCTGTTCCTGCTCATAGCCACGGAAAGCATCACCTGAGCAAAAACACACATGCATAATGCCACATATCAAACGGTTTGAAAAGAACTGTAGATGTCTTCCTTGTTTTGTCATACCAGCACTGCCTGCATATCTGCCCAGGTGGATTCTGAAGAACTGGGTTTCATTGTCAAGGCGGAAGTCATCATAGGAGGCATAAGACGTGACATCGTTGTTGGACACTAGAGCGATGTGAAGTTGGAAGCGAGCATCTTTCTGGTTGACGATGTGAAAAACCTTCTTCAGACCCAACCAGTGTTCTCCTATAGAAACAAAGAAAGAGAAATTTGATGAGGATCAAACGCTGCTGCAGCTTTAGGCTTCTCCCGGCTTGATAAATAGGAGAAAGAGTTGGATGAAAAGGCTTTAAGGTAAACCTGATTCTTGAATGATAATGAATGCATGTATGCACAACCTGCAAGGTTTCCAAATCCATCAAGGTAATCAGCCCAGGATCGTTTGAAGTCATTCAATCCATCAGTCCTCCTCTGCATCACTGTCCAGCCGCCTTCCATGTAGTCCATCTCACAGAACACCTTAACAACATTTGTTTAGGTTTTAACGATGGAAATTAGCCAAACGGGGAATGCCTAAGTTAATGTTGTACCTCAAAAGAAGAGTCTGTTTCTTCTGGATGGATTATGTAAATACCACTGGGGATCTTTGGGACGACTGACATCAGACTCTCCTTGATGTCACTGCAGTCTCGTCCTGATCAAAAGCACAAGCAATCACATTCAAGAAAATATTTGAGCCATTGTTGTTAACAACTCAAGGGGTTCCCTGATGAAAATCTCACTTTGCACACTAATAATTCTTATTTACATAAGACTTTTAATTCCTTCTTTACCTGATTTAGATATGATGCCTTACACTTTTTCACATTTTGTCACACTACATCCACAAATTTAAACGTATTTATTTGGACTTTATTGAAGATAGAAAATAAGCCTTTGGTCTGCATGTTGTATGAGGGAGCCTGTGTGTTACCGTGAGACTGAACAGGTTTTATCGAGTACATCTCAGCGTTGCTTCTTTGGACCTCGGAGCTGAGCATCTGCACTTTGCTCATCAGTTCCGAAACCTGGAAATGTGACACAGCAGTGCTCACTACTGGTCAGCTAATTCCTCTAAAGTCTCTGCATCAAACCAGAAAATCCTGACCAGGTTTTACCTGTCCGCTCAGGACATCTAGGCCTCTCTGCTGCTCCTCGATCACATCCCTGATTAGCTTTCGGGTGCTACGTCCAAATGCCAGCAGGGACTGCTGCAGCTGGCCTGCACACATACAAACAGACATGCTTAGTGAGAAGCCAATATTGATGAGAGAGCTATCAATACTACAAGGACAAAATAGAAACTTCACCACAGATTGAGTGTTTTTCATCCCGGAGGAGTTTGACGGTGATGTCACATGGGATGGAGCACGCATCGTGACCTTTGGTCTGCCTGAAAGCTTTTTGGTCTTTGACAGGTGAGTCAGAGAGTTCCTCACTTTCAGGCTCTGATTGGTTTAAATGGCCAGCGGTACCTTCAGTCTACAGGTAAACAGAAGGATGCAGTTTGATCAGATAGCACACAGACTGCCTGCGGTCAGAAAAACACTGGAACTTTTTACCTTCATTTTTATGTTAGGTTAAATGTTAGAAGATATTGCTATTTATTTTATAACTTTTCAGAAAACTCCTCATTATACTGGAGACCAAGCATCTGCTGGAGAATATTTATTCTGCTTTTTAAAAGTTTGAGCCTCTAATTTACAGAGTTGTTAGCAATATTACGCTGTCAAAGTGTAATAAGCAAATAAAAGACATCTTTATCATTTCACCTCTATGCTTTTTGCTACATCGGCAGTTTTACCTATGTTGTACCCAGAAAGATATCATTTTCAGGGTACAACCAGGTGTAAATTTGTAGTGGTTTGGAGTAGCTTCAAATACTAATCAGTAGTCTTATGAAAGTGACTGATAGGGTCAGTCATTGGTTATGCTCTATAACATTAAAATCATCAGATACAATAACTGAAATGCAACAATAGATTTGAGCTTTTTTTTTTCTTTTTTATCTATAAATTTCAAAAAAGCTTTTTACTGATGAGACATACATTATTATGCTTTAGTTAAGTTTATTGGAATAAAACGGTTGGTTTACAGACAAAAGTGAATAAGATTGAGAAGAAATAACAAAGCATAGGGGCATAAAGTGACTAAGAAGCAAACTAATCTGGAGCTTGCTGGGATACAGATTTGTTTAATTATATGGTGAAAATAGCATGAGATATTATAAAGTCTAAGAATGTCAGAAGCACAATTTCCTTAGACCTTAATTCAAATATCTTAGATTAAAATATTGAGTTTTTCTTTAGGGATAAAGTTTGGACAAAACATCCTTCTTATTTAAAACCGTGTTTATCTCAATAAAATATAAAATGGGCTCTCTAACTTTCTATTTTCTTTATAGGTTATAAATGTTTTCTTCAAACAATGACAAACAGAATAAAGCAGCTTGTTTGGGCCTCTCGCTGACAGCTTTTGGGTTCTGCCTTCCATAAATCCTAATAAATGTTTCCTAATACAGAAATGCAAAAAAAAAAACATTAACTTTCAACATGCATATACGTACTGTGGAGGAAACCAGCTGAGGCAGGAGCAGCAGGAGGACAGTCGTTGCCCACATCATCCCAGTCCAACTGTGATTATTTCCTCACGAAGCGAGGGGGCGGAGCTCTTCCCACCAGCTTCTTCATTTATACCTATTTTTTTTTTTCCACAAACTGTTCAAATCTACTCTTTGTAGTCCAAACCCCTTTTCACTTTCTCCTCGGTTCCTCTCACACGTGACAGTGGGAGTGACTGGGTGATGCTACTCCCACTTTCTTGTAAACTCCCATTACGTCAGACGAGTTAAAGAAGGGTGTTAATGAAAATCTGATTATGTTCCCCAGAAGGAGCTGAATGTGCAGATTTTTAGTTTCGTGTTGGAGTTATTACTTTCCTATGTGGTGTGTCTCTTAACCAGGCATTGTTGTTTTAAAGGTTACATCCTGCCACCAGCATGAGAAACAGATGTGGGGAGAAAGAAAAAAAAAAAAGTGCAGCTTGTTTTATTGACCCCCCAGTCTCGGCTGTTGTCGCTGCGTGGGAGCTGCAGCTGAAGGTAGGGTGCAGACAGGGCAGGGTGTTTGTTACTTATGTTTCCTCCAACCCTAAGTACTGAGTCAAAAGTCTCCTGTAGAGTGCGACCAATTATTCCAGTAAAGTGGGCATTTAAGCAGTGAAGAAAGTACAAAAGCAAAAGAACAGCTGAAAATGCCACGAAGGGTCCAGCTGGAGTCTGTCGCTTCCTTGGAAAAAGTTTCTGAGAGTGCCAGTGGAAAGGATCGCTGCTGTTCCAGGCCTCTGCGAGTCTGCAGCCATGGTCAGAAGGAGGAATGTGGAAAAAGCATGGCGCTGTTGCCTCAGGGACCCCACATCTGTGCAATTTTACATGCTGCTCAAAAACAGTGTGTGCATGTCAATAACGGGTGAACTCATGAAGATCAAGGGAATGAATAAAGGCCTACTAAGGAGGATCCAAGCTATTTCAGGAGCCATGCTTATTGTTACAGCTTGTTACATTTTTTGTGGTTTAATGTTTAGAACAGCTAAATAAATATATTAAAAAAAAAAAAAAACACAATGCCCCTGCATGACAAAGTGTAGATCAGCAAATGTATAAAAAGCTATAGAAATTTTTAAAAAGTCACTGTTGTTGATTGACCATTTATGGAAGTGGAGTTTAAAAATGTAGGAGGTCATATTTGCTTTGAGCAGTTGCCCAGCATGGCTGTAAGCCTGGATGGGTAGGGATGCAAAATTTAAAAAATTAATACAAATTTATGTAAGTAAAACTCCCACTTAATTTCTGCCAAGAATATAAAGTAAAGTTAAAATATAAATATTTTATTTTGTAAGTAGGTCAAAATGGGGTAAATTTTAGCCTACCCCATAATTCTGATGATTTCCTCAAATTTGATAGGTTGAATGGTCTGAACTATCAACTGATTGTACAGATCATTAACTTATTATTAACTGATTCAAATCTCTGCCATGTATGACAATTCTCTCAAATTAATGTTAAACAATTTGCTTCTACAATACTATCTTTACTTGGTGTGAGGAGAAAAGTCACACCAATATTGTTGCTGTTTGAAAAAGCAGCTTAAAAACCAAGAAGGATGAATAAATCAAGGAAAAATAGAAATAAAGAACTAGAGAGCTGTGATTATCTGTGAGTACAATTTGCTCATAAAACATTTGTCTTGGTTTACTTTCAACTTTTATTCAGTGGGCAAGTTTTTGTTAGGAAAGAACAACACAGAGAGAATAAACACAGGATGTAGCTCTCATCTTCTCATAGTGAGTAATGGACTAAATAAAAATAAAATGAGAAATTAATGTAAAAAAGGAGACACTGCCACCTGTTGTCCACAGGAGAGTTTCACAATAATGTTTCTTATCAATGTGTTGCTAAATTTCTGTTCTGGATTTAACCTATGGCTAAAATATTCACTTTCAATTTCAATATTCAATTTTAAAGTAACTCAAACAAAATGCAACTTAATTCTGTGACAAAATGATAACATTTAGGTTACTGAAATTATTGACAGAGCTCATTTTATTTCATGATCCATGTGATATCAGTTTATAAAATGGGATTGCTAAGATACAATCACTTTACACAGAGTTGAGGAATGAATCTGAACACAGAGTCAAAACCCCTGACTTGTAACTCAAACAGCCTACAAAAAGCATGTTTAACTGTTTAAATGTGTTTGACACTGACTGTATCTTGACAAAATAATATCTTCGTTCCACAGTTTAAAAAAAGAAAGAAAAATAAAGTCTATGCAGGTGATTACAAACAGAAAATATGGTACATATGTCAAGTTTGTCAGTTTATTTCAATAATAATAAAAAAAACCTTATGAAACTTTAACAAAAACTACAGGTCTGAGTCTGGTCCATTTTTGGTTAAAATATGTTTGTTTTTTATTCAGTGGGCAGAAAATCCAGGCTTTTTACTCAAGTAATAGTAGAAATACTTTATAATAAAATTACTCAAGCAAAAGTAAAGTACAGCGTAATAAAAAATACTCCTAAAAGTACATTATATCAAAAACGTCACTCAATTAAATGTAACTGAGTAAATGTAACTTGTCACTACACAACTCTGAAAATATATCCCTGAATAATAACACTTTTGGGACTTCATACTTTTGGCCGTCAGTAGTTACCAGCAGCAGCTGAATTGTGGGCTCGCTGGTGCGTGTTTTCCGCCAGGGGGCGCTACACTGCGGCTTGAGCCTGCACGGGACAAACAGGCTCCGACTGGGTTGGCCTCATCATGGGGCGGATGTTTTCTCGGCGCAACTTCCCAATTTCCCCCTACCCAACCCCCCCAAAAATACACAAGACCCTCCAGACCCAGAGTCGGGGAAAAAGAAGGACTTAATGCGGCCCTTCTATGAGATTATCTGAGGTTGTTGCAGTATTTCACTCTCTACCTCTTGCCTTCACTATATAAAAACGACTGGAAAATGCGCAAGATGGATTTTAAATATAAACTAAATACAGAATAAAAGTGATTATTTCGTTTTCCAGCTGACCAGCTCTAGTTCGGGGCTGTAAATAAACTCCTGGTTTTCTAGAAGTTTTCACCAGTGATGGTTTACATATCTGTCTTGAGTGTGAAATATTTGCCCTGCGACTGCGGCAGCTTTAAACCCAACAACCCCGCCCCTCCGCACTATCATATGAATCTGGACTGAACGCTGGATGGGAAAAGTTTAGAGGTCTCGGTGAAATCGCTCTTCCCCGGCCAGTTTGTTGTGTGTGCGCCCTGCCTCGCCTTTTAAAGGGTTTTTACTCCACCGTCTGTGTCGGGGGAAAACGGAGTCGGCTTGAGTGTTTTCCAGACTGGGACTTCTTTTTCTCCCTGCAGGAATACACAGGGGAGGAGAAGAAGGAGGAGGAGGAGTGGGGACGCTCTGGCTGCTTGAGGTATGTGGGAGGCATGTTGTGCTCTGCCGAGATTGATTTTTGTCCGCGATCTTGGCTTAAATAACACCATTTTGACCACGATACCTGACGCTTGATGTTTTTCCTGTTGCTAAATAACTTGGAGAAGTTCGAGCTTCAAACACCGAGGCAGCGACACAAAAAGTTCAAATGGGGTGGGGGTTTAATAGAAGAGGGAGGGGGGGTCTGAAAGTGTAAACAAATCTTATCGTAACTGTTGCACATAGGCGCATCCAACCCCGTTTTTCTTGGCAATCTGCGTTTTACTCTTCGTTTGTTTTACATGCGCGAACTTTTTCTACAGATACGTTTCGATTCCAAACTTTGGGCGACATGGACGCGCACCGCGGCGCGCCTCCGGCCGGGCAACAGATCGTGCACGTCCGCGGGGACTCCAACACGGAGCTGGAGGCCCTCTTCAACGCCGTGATGAACCCCGGCAAGGCGGCCAGGCAGACCCAGTCCGTGCCCATGAGGATGAGGAAGTTTCCGGACTCTTTCTTCAAGCCGCCGGAGCCCAGGGGCCACTCCAGACAAGTAATATTACTGCAAACTGCTTCACTCTGCAGGATGTTTATCGTTGCATGAAATTTACCAATATTTAGTGAATTAATTTAGAAATTGAGCAGGAAAACACACATTTGCGTGCTGCTTCTGAAATAAAGTAGGAGATCATCACGATATAACATCGAGTGAAGTACCGCGGTTGGACGATATTTGCACAAAAAACTAAGACAAACATACATAATTGATTTTTTTTTCTTTTTGCCATTATTTAAAACAAAAAAAAAATCCTCACTATTTGTTTCTTGGAACATTTATTTGTTTTATTTGTTTATGCATTGCAGCATTAACACCCACTTAATTGAGTTGTGGTTTTGCACCCATACTGTGCAGAAATTATTAATTTGTTGCTGTTGGGGTTTTTAGAGAGTATAACCCAATAGTATTTTCTGTAGTAGTCAGGCTATCTGCTCTAGCAGTCAACCTGTAATCACCTGCATAGTAGTTAGCCCGAGTAAATGTTATTTATTATTATTATTATTATTATTATTATTATTATTATTATTATTATTATTATTATTCATACAAAAAGCACCTAGATGTTCACAGGTAGATTTTTTTTATAGTGCCTTGTGTATCTCTGGTTTGATGAGATATAAATAAGCAGAACTGCTAATAAATAGCAAATTTGCTCAAAGGTTAAAATTTCCAAGACTGGTGTTTTTTATATATATATATGGATGGAAATAAATAGCGGATGGATATAAATACATAAATATAAATACAGACATAAATATATGGGTGTATATAGACAGAGGAAAAACTTTCAGATTCACTGTTCTTCGGTTTTTACAGGGAGGTCTAGAGAATTTATTCACAGATTTTTCTGAGGAAGCAAAGATCAAACCTAAATAATCTGTTTACTGTTGGTGATATATTCATATATACCTTGGACTTTATTAGCAAACATGCGAATGAATCCCACTAAAAGCAGCTCAGGTAACCACCAGTGGTACTTCTGCTGCAGCAGGAGAATAATGGACTTAAGAATTATAGTTTTAGACCTTTTAAAACTAAAATCTTTTAAAGGTCACAGTTAATTTATGCCAACTTGGTGCCTTCTAATTTTAATCATTTTCAGTTTTTATTGATTTTATATCAGTTTGTTGCCATGTATGGCAGTGAGCATGGAATCAAACAAGACTAATTCTGACTAACTTTGAGTTATAATTCATTTACTAAGATTCACATTTAGATTAAATCTTTAATAATTCCACCTCTCAACATTGACCATTGCTTTTTACATAGATTCCAAACATATGAAATGAATCCATGGGTTAAACGTACAAAAGGATTCAGGATTGTAGGTTTATGTTCATAAATTTCTTTTTGTTAGCCGCACACTTTGATTTTCATGGACAAAAATAGAGAAAAAAGTTTTGACTGACCTTTGGTTGGGTATGGAAGGATTGATAATATCCAAATGAAACTGGTAAAATGACATAAAAACCAGGTTATTATTATTATTTGTTTATAAATACTGTTTTTATCTGCTACTGCATTAGGGATGTCAGGAGGTCGTGACCCCAATTTAAAACCAGAGTGTTCTCTAAATACTTTGGAAATAGGAATTTTAACAACAAAAACAATGTAATCCATTGGTTTTTGTACCAGTGTTTTGGGAGTCCAGAGTCCTCACATCTTAGCATAGCAGTAATCATTTCTCTTTTTAGATCCAGAGCTTCATAATTATTTTCTCTGGCCTGTGCAGCTGCGTGGACAGTTTAAAACATCAGAACGTTATACATACATTGTACTGCTGTAAAATTGATCACAATTCATCAAAAGGAAGGCACAAACTATCTAAGGTGACAAAGAATACACAGATGCTATAATACTCAAACTGGACATTGTGTGTCCACGCAGGGCCACAAAAAAATCTCATTCAGTTTTACGTCTCTTAGTCGCTGCTGAATTCATTTCAAGTTGCATTTTCTTAGTTTGATACAGGCTGTTGCACTCAGAGCTCCAGGGACTACAACCACGAAAGGTCGCTCAGTTTTGCCATTATCAGACCTCTTCATGTTGCGTCTTTGTAGCTGATTTCGTCTCCTTGTCATTTACAGTCCAGCTGTGGGAAAATATCGAATGAACACAGAAAGGTGCAGAAAGTAACAAACACGACTTCACCAGCTGTGAATGAGTGCAATCGTTACTTGAATTGTTTTGCAGCATTTAACACATGCAAGAGCTTCATTTTAGGGAATCTAAACCCTTAAAATCAGACTGCAGGATGTTTCGGCTAGTGTTTTTGTCACTCTTAAAAAAAAAAAATTGAAGCCACTACAGAGGGGATGCTTAACATGCATTAACCCCTTTTAAAATAAAAATAATTTTTGTGTAAAAACAAATCATAAACCATTTTAAATATTTTTATGACTTTGTTGTGACAAAAATCCTGCACACTTGAATAGAAAATCAAGCCAATCAGTAAAAAAAAGCTCTTAGGCGGCATGTGGATGCACACCTGTGAGCAACCTCCCATAAACAAAGTTTCATTTACTTTTTGATTTACTTACAATATTTTTTCCCTTCACTACATACCTGCTACCATTTAAAGTGAACTTGTTTAAGCAGAAGTAAATTTCTGCTACTGCAGAAGGATTTTGATATCATTTGCTCATTTGCAACCTGCAAGACTAAAGTTTGCAGAGAGGGAACAACAGATCAAAAGATCTTGTTGCACAAATGTGTCAGTCAGAAAGACAATCCCACATTATAAATTCACAAATTCAACTGTGAATTTGTGAATTCACAGTTGGCACAGTAACAATGGGCTTAAAGAAAATATGAGAAAAGAGTGAAATCACAACTGATGGACAATGCTTACAAAGACAATGCCAAGAGCCGGACAGCAACAGTGAAGGAGCAGCAGGAGTTTCTGCTCAATGTGCTTCACATGTGTGAGTCCTTTATTGGAAAAGTGTCAGATGAAAGATAAATTTGTAAGACAGAAGTCTTTCTTTCCAAAGAAGTCTTTCCTTCAAACTTTACTGAAGTCTTCCAAAGGCTTAGCCACTTGTGGTCTAATGGAACCAAACTTGAATTTTGATCCACAATTCCAAAGAAAACAACAGTGAAGCATAAACATGGTAGTGGCAGAGTCATGCTCTGGGATTACTTCATGTTTTGTAAATAACAAATTTGAATTGGTTTTCTTTTGTTTAGTTCATCAACTAAACAAGATATGTCCTCACAGTCTAAATGATTTGGAAACCTTTGCCAGGCAGAAGAGGTAAATATTGAAAACTGAAGCTGAAGGATGCTGATGGACTCTTGCCAAGGAAAACTAAATGTTGAACTTGATCAAAAGCTACTTAGGTTTTGGGTTAAGTGTATGTATACACTTATGCAAACAGGTCAATACAAGCTTGTTTGTTTTTTGGTTGAGTTATGGAGGATAAATGCCACGTTACAGGAGGGAAAAAGTTTCGAAATGATTCATCACAAAATCCTGCCATTTTCCAGTGTACATTTCTTTGCAATAAAACCGCTTGGCTGTGAGACTGTCCAGTGTGTGAAGCAACTCTTGTTCAGTCTAGCTATAGTAACCCATTTGAACTCGTTTTGTTTTTGCTCTCAGTTTATGTTTCGGATTGCCGTTTGTCACTCCGCTGCAGACTTGCTAACCCTGCTCCTTTCTCGTCAGGCCAGTTCAGATGGAGGCGTGTGCGGCTCCCTCGCCCCTCATCACGTCCGCGCTCATTCTTCCCCAGCCTCCCTCCCAATCAACTCAGTCAATGTAGCGGCCACACCAATCATACCCGACGATGTGCCACTCCCCGAGGATTGGGAGATGGCCAAGACGCCCACTGGCCAACGGTACTTCATCAAGTAAGGGCTTCCTCCAGCTTTATCGCTGTGTTGCATCTCTGGCTCTGCAGGTTTTCTTTAAAAAGGGTTTCTGTGCCGGATGACAGTTTCCCAAAGCAGGTTGTGCAAGACAGATTCTGAATCAGCAGATTTTGGAACTGGAAAGTGGCAACCTTAATATTTTAGGCTGATAGATGTCCAAAAGGATCATTCCAGCTCTGATATGATTCAAAATATTTTTTTTTTCTACAAGTAATTCTTTTGCCACACAAGATGTTCTCATTTTTCTAAAAGTAAAGTGGCAGAGCTGTACACAGGATTAAAACTCATGCAAACAGGAAACAGTTGAACCAGTTCTGTGGCCTGTTGGGTTTCACCTTCATGAGAGCACGTTTCCTGCTCTGTGAAAAGCCTGAGATTGTCTCGAGGAGCATAGATGTGCAAGCACATCTGGTCGTACAGGTAAAGCGAGTCTGAGGGAGAACGCTCCTCGCCCTTCAGGTTACTGCGGTTTAATAGATGCATCGCTTGCTGTGTGTGTGTGTGTGTTTTCTTTTTTCTTCAGCCACGCGCAGAGGTCGACCACATGGCAGGACCCCCGCCTGTCGCAGCTTCAGTCGGCTGCAGCCCAGCATCAGATCGCCTGCACCCCGAGCCACGCCCACTCCTTCAGCAACCCAGCCCCCACTACGCAACCCAAAAATATTATTCCTGAGACAGGTATCACACTGCAGCACTGTGCCCTTTTGTTGTCGTCTGTCTCCCTCTGACCAGTAGTGTGTTGGGTGTTGTTCCTTTGGGATTCTCTTTGGGTTGCTTACATTTATGCCTCTGCTTTGAAAAATTATCAGACTTAATATGTAACCCTACATAAGGGTGCAATTCAAAAAGAATCATGCAGGTTCTACAAGTCTTTTTTTCAATTATTAGCTTGATGTAAATGTCTAAAGGGTCAGTTTATCCAAATTGTATTTCCTTAAATGATAGAATCAACCACAGGATGTGATGATGCAACATGTGATCATTGACTTCAAGTACAACCTATAAGATCTTTTATTTTTTATTTTTTATATATATATATAGCAATCAGGCTCTCATAAAAACTCTTTCTAACTGGCTTTTGCTTTCAGTTGTCATCCACCTGCTTATTAGGCATTATTAGACTCACAATGGTTTTAAGTGTTACTGACAAACCGTCTCTGAGGAAAAACTGCTTGGAGAAGCTGCTTGAAAGCTTTGTTGAGCTTCACCCATCAAAATATCACATTGTGCCGGAAATAATATGTATGTCCAGATCAGAATTCATTGCCCCTGAAACGGATTATTCAATTAAGATGAATTGTTTACCAATGCTAAGTGCCAGGCCGATGCGACATTAAAATCAATACATCTACTTGCTTGAAAACTCAGTAGTTTCAAATTACAGTACAATGCCACATCACATTTCATCGATATTACCCCTATGTTAGCTTAGATGCCTAAAATGTAGAGTAGTGCAGCAACTGTGCCCCTAATTTTAAAATTGAGAGAGTAACACATTTGTTTTTGCTGAAATAAAAATCATACAACAGGGAAGCAATGGTAAAACACCTTGTAACATAATTTGGTGTCCATATTCATTACTATCATGTCTGTGTTCCACTTTTTAACTCGCTCACCAATGATGTGCAGGATGTTGCAGAATCTGTTTTTCTCGATAATAACGTATATTTATTCTCAGACTGAGTTTCAGCTGAGCATCCTTTATATTTCATGTTTCTCTAAGACCAACTTTACTCAGTTAAAATGGGCTTGGTTTCCAAATTCCCATCAGACTCAACACTTTCCACCATTTTTATCAATAGTTGAATTGAAGTTCTAGGCTAAATCTAGCATGTTTACTGCATGCTTTGATAGGACTTGTTGATAAATCCACTTGTAACCTATGCAAAACTTGAATCTCTCGCCTTTTTATCTATTGTTATTGCACCTCATATTTTGCCATTTGCCGAGCAGGTCATATGATACTGACAAACAGGGAGCCAAGCCAGCCAGTGTTGTCTCTCCTTTACAGTCAGTATAGTTTTAAATGGTGAAAAATGCTTAAAAAGTGGCACTGTGCATTTTAAAGTCCTAATCCAAATGTTTGGCAGACACCAATCTTTAGTTGTTTTTTTTTATTATCATTTTCATTCATTCTGAGTTTGTTGTGCAGTCGTGACAAGTTCCATCAACATTTTCCGCCATACTTGTTTAGTCCATTGTTTACATCTGACCTTGGTACTTGCCGACTCCTCCCAACAAAATTGCGATGTTTGTCACACCTCGATGACTTAAAAGTTGGATGAAATGTGACATGACCGTTCACGTTGGTTGCACCAACATCAGATAAGAATCCAGTTTGGGAGTGTGTATGTAAGTGACCTGGGTGTGATATCGAGAAAAAAAAAATTGATTTATGCTCACACTGTCTTTAAAAGAAATCAGATACCAGTAATATATTGGTAGAGAAGTTGGATTGGCGCCACTTTTGTCTGCTGTGTGAACATTAGGTCGTCCACACCCAGATTTGTTTGATCAACAGTGAAATGGGAAAAGCCTGTGAAACAGCTTTACAAACCACTTGCATAATAAAAAGCAGTGATTTTTAAAAAAGCAACATAAATTAAGAAACAAACACACTTTTCCAGTGTTGGAAAAAAGTGGAGGCAAAGTCAGGGTTTTATTTTTTCTGTGAAAAAATAAAAAATCCATCATCTTCTCCTTTTGTAACAAATGCCTCATCTGGATGTTTCTGTTAAAAAGTAGCGATTAAAACCAGTGGATGTCTTCATCCACAACAATGTTAATCTCAAAGCAGATTAAAGTCATTGATTGTGGGGATGAGACTCTGTCCTGCACTGTGACACTCAGAGAAGACTTACTGTGCTAACCACAAGATCATCCTTGCAAATATTGTAATCACATTTGTTTGTCTGAGCATATCAATTGAATGTTTCAAGGAATATTTGTCTTTATTAGGTGACAATCTACTTTGTTTTGAACACATATGCAACTTCCCACTCAAGATCATTTGTACATTTTCTTTGTGCATTTGTTTTTGTTCTAAAATATAAAAAGAAATATGGTTCTTTATTTTAAGCATTAAGCAAAAAAATGTAGGTTTTGTGAATTTTGATTTACTTTTTTAAGTTGGAGAATAAGAAAATAAATTCTTTGGATTGTAACATTGTTAATCAAAGTTCACAGAGTTGAATGAGAAGGTTTACACTTTTTCTCAACGTAACCCCTAGTTTTTAAACGTTACCTTGGTCTGACTGACTCTTTACCATCTAATGAGTCAAATATTGCTTTCAGTATTTGGTAGAAATCAAACTGACTGTACAACGGACTGCAGGACATCACCCAGACCCTCAATTACGGCAAAGCCGCAATCAGATTTGTTACCTTATTTTGTAAATGTTCCCAGCATTGGAGACACTGTTTCTTCTGAGAGGTATTTTAAAATTTTTATAGTGTGATTTGGGTGAGCAGACCCTTTAAGGATGGATGTTCATTTTACACACACACACCAAGGTTAGGCAAAATGCACTTACAGTTGTTTTATTTTTTTAAATTGTAAATAAAATAAAGCAGTTATTAATTTCTCTTCCTAAAATCTGTAAACTACAAACTTTCCTCTCAACACTCCATTTGGCTCCAGCAACCATTTGCCTTCTCACTCTGTACTTTTACTGCTGTTCAGGTCCACTGCCTAAAGGCTGGGAGCAGGCTGTGACTGCAGAAGGAGAGGTGTACTACATTGATCACATAAAACAGGAAACCACATGGGACGACCCGCGTCTAGGTAGCACACTATAACAGATTTTGTGCCTCCTGAGTTGACAGTTGTCAATGAGAAACATTGTGTTCCAATGTGGGCTATTAGAACAGCTCAATCTTTGGCAACAAGACAGCAAAAAAGAAGGATCTCAAGGTGTTGGACACTCTTTATTTCATGAATTGTTTCATTGTATGATTTATGTTTCATTTCAAAGAGGTTCATGCATATATTCTTGATGTCTTTTTGTGTTGTAGCCCCTAAGGTGAACCCAGCTGGCCTCCCTTTGGCAATCCAGCAAAGACTAGAAAAGCTCAGACTGAAGCATCCCGTCCCTCCACAATTTGCCCCACAGGTCAGTGAGAGTACCAAGCTGGAGCGAGTCGTTCCATAAATATTCAATGCTATCCTAAACTTCTGCTTTCTTTAAAGTTAAATGAAATTAAGCATACAAGTTATTCAGGTGCAGGAGGCGGGAGGGAGCAACCAGATGCCCGGCGGGATGGACCATGACAGAAGCGCACAGATGCTTGTCCCATCGGTGGATATCAGGATCAGGGCCCTAAACCAAGAATCTAACCTTAACGGGTACGTCTTTACTAACACAATACTACAAGTTAGTGAAAAGTACTCAATTTACAGTTGGATTGTTCATACACAGAATACTCCAAAAAAAAAATGTGCCAGTAGATTTGTAAATGTGTTTTTATTCCTGACCCTAAATTGCATTTACTGGGCTAACAAAGGAATTAAAGTTAGCAGATAGCTTGAAGATGTTTTATAGTGTTTATATAGAATCTGTTGGATACTGCGTTGTTGCTCAGAAAGGTTCCCAAGACTCTTTCTGAACTAATCAGGCTTGTCCAATCTATTGCCAGACAGTACATAATAGATTGGTTGAAGTAAAAGTCCAGGACCTGAGGTCAAAAAATTGATTAATTCAAAGAACGCTGCATGCAGCATTCAGTCAGGTGTCACTGTGACTCACAGTGCCTGAATTTTGAAACTACTTGAAGTGCCAAAAATTGAAATCCCAAGAAGGAAACTGAGAGTGCAGAATCCAACATGGCAGCCATGCTTCAGAGAGTATATGAAGTTCCCAAATTAAAATGAGTAACCTCACTTCTAACGGGAAGTATTTGGGAACATCTTCCTTTGGTGTTTGAATGCATAAAATGCTGAGAATTGGTTTGTTTTGGCTTTTTTTCCCCACGGTAGTTTTTACTCTGTCACTCAGAAAAACAATTAGTAAAACCCACAGAGTTTCCCACCTTACAGCTGGAATGTTGTATTGTTGGCTGTAACATGATTCCCTGATCCAAGTCGAAACTTGCGGTAAACGTGACACAGCATCAGAGTAACTTCAGAGAAACTAAACATCACTTTCATACTGGCTTACAACAACTTCTGAACAGAAGTTGTAAGCTTCGTACATTTGCTATATTTCAGCAACTGTACGAAATATAGTCTTTCGTACTTTTGCTGAATTATGCTGACCGAAATAATTATTCTCTGAGTGCAAAAGGTGGCCAGACCTGAAGGAAAAAGATTATCTTAGAACTGCAGATAATTATTTGTTTCTTACTCAGGGCTCACTCTCGCAACGAAAGCACTGACAGTGGTCTGAGTGTCAGCAGCTTATCACGCACGTCGGACCACATGTTGAGCTCTGTGGATCACATGGACACTGGTATTGGTACATTTTTCTCTGTATTTTTGTTCTTATTTGTTCTTTTCTTAAAGCTCTAGTATGTATTTTTTTATAAAGAATATTTTTTTTTTACATATTTGTTGAACCTATCACCATGCCATGGTAGTATGTTATGTGACAAGTAATCTGTGAAAAGACCGATCTACTGCACCTCCTCTTTGAGCTGCTATTGCTGAAATGCTAAAAAAAAACAACAAAAACAATAAGAACCAGGAGGAGGGTCTTAATGCTGTCAATCATCCTCATTTACTCGCTGCTAAATGTGCTAATGGCCAAGAAACAAATTACTGTCACCGGAAAACCGTTTACCACCGAAATTGGTGGCCTTGCTAACTAGCCTTAGCATTCACAACAGGCTCAGCTAGCTGCAGCATAGCAGATAACACAAATCAAACAAGATTGCGACAGACAGCACTAAGACCCTCATCTGTCTAACAACATAGAGACAGTTTTAACAAATGTGTAAGAAAAATATTTTTCAGAAAAGTTAAATATTGCAGCTTTAAGACATTACCACGGGGTTTTTCTACATAGATAGACTTAATTTGTTAAACTTCTGTACCCAAATTAATTATTTCACCTTAAAAAGATGTATAAAGTAGCTTAAATAATCTGCATTCTTGTTAGTGTGTATATATATATATATATATATATATATATATATATATATATATATATATATATATATATTTGATATTTATTAAATATTTGTACATTGGTGCAATAAATGCATGTAAGTTGTCCAGGTTATTGTAAATCTCATTCTGTGCCTGTGATTTGTTCAGGTGACTCAAGTGAGCCTCCCTCAATGGGCCTGCAAGAGTCGATGCCCGTGCTGCCGATAAATGAGGAGCTGATGTCCGGCATCCCCGACAGTTTGACTTCAGACATGTTGATGGAAATGGACACAGTTCTCTCCGGGCCACACATGGACAGGGACAGCCTACTCACCTGGCTATAGACGCAAGCAGCCGCCGTCCGTTTGAGTGTGGTTTGAAATCGAGCTTTTGTAGCATGACTGAGAATTCTGGGAAATTTGATTTGGATTTAAAAGTGGTACAGAACAGCTTCTCAGAGAGAATATGCTACAGATATATGTGATGGATATCTACTTACAGAATTCACTTCCTGCCGTGTGAAAAAACAAATGACTCTCTCAAAAGCTGGAGGTTTTCTCTTTTTGGGTCTGGTTTTTGCAAATGCTCCTCTTTTTTTCATCCTGGTCCTCCATCCAAAGTCACACTTGGGATTGCCTTAAGTAAGAGTCAAGTGTTCTTGGTTCAGTGGTTTGAACAAAAAAACCTGGTAAAATAGCATTAATGTAACATAAAGATTTTATTTAATAAATTAATAAAACATAAAAAAAGGTTTAAAGCTCCTAAATTAGCCAAGTGACCTGTGAAAGTTAAAAGCAGCATCTCATGCTACTACGTCTGAGCAATTTGTGATTTCATTACATGTACTCAGAGTTGTATTTTAAAAACAACGTTTAACAACATTTTTAGCGTAAAGTGAGCAAAGAATCAAAGGGTTTTTTAGAGAAAAACTGCGATAGTTTCGAAATCTCAGGGCATCTCTTATTAAAACGGAGGGAATTGCGCCCTCTTGTGGTGAGTCAGAAAATAACAATATTTCCTCCCTAAACTTACATCAGTTGCGCAAGTTTAAAAATAAGTACAAGATTCTTAGGATTTGTCTGCCTGACTCAACAAATCCAGCTGATTCTAAAGAATATTGCCAATGTATTAGTTTTGAACATCAAATATGGATTTTTAAAACTTCGAGACTCCAATATATAAGCAAATGAGCACATGATCAGGGTGAAGTCCAACATAATGCAGGATTTCATTCATCAGTTTCTTGTTCTGTTTGTTTTTGATTCTTAGCTTTTCTTTTCTCAATAATGATTAAAAAAAACCTTTAAAAAAAACTTTTTTAAATCATATTGATATTGGCCACCAATATTTGGGTAATTTTAAAACACTTTTAGTATTTTTTGTTTGTTTTTGTTTGTTTGTTTATTCAGATATTTTTATTGAAGACTTCTATTCAATGCCAGCACTGAACATGAGCTTCACAGGTTCAGTATTTATTTTGGATTTCTAATGAACTCCACTGTGCTGATAGTTGTTTCATTTTCACTCTGACAAACTCTTGTTTTGGAAAAAGTCCTCTCTAGTTGCCATCTGACCTGGGAAATGTATGAGAAATAATATTTGCAGCCTAAGATTTTTGCAATTATTATTATTCCGTAACACTTTTATTGCAATACTGGATTGAAACATTCCTAGTATTCCCCATCATTAGTATGAAAGACACTCAAATAGTGACAGCCTCTTTTCTCATCTCATCAGCTTTAAAGTGTATAAGATTCTCACTTTCTCCTTGACTTCCAACATTTTAGATGCTACTTTTTCATTTATTTCTGAAAATCTGTTCCATATACTGACTATTTCTTGATTCAGTATTTCTTTCTGATTCTGCTTTTCACTCTAAAGTCATAGCAGCGAATGTTGTTGGTGTCAAAGCATCAGAAAGTGAGATTCAAGTGTTTTGTGGAAAAAAATCCCAAACCTTCTAGCTTTTTTTTTTTTTTTTTTTTGATTTAGCTTTCTAAATATTGCATTGATTGTTTGTGTGATTCTTATTCATGTAAATACATTTAGAATTAAAGGACCCTTTTGAAGTGTTTTTAAACATTAAGTTGATGCCGTACATTTTTGTAATACCATCAAATCTTCATTTTTAAAGAATGCTTTATCCCACGATTGGTCTCGAGGTTTACGCTAGCCATGTAAGCTTATAGTGGAGATAAAATTATGCCATTAAGATCAAACAGTTGGTTCGATCATACAGGTGACTGCAATGGTCAATTTTATGAATTTTTCCTTTTTTCTTTATTCTAAACATGAAATCAATTTTGATGTCCCTCCCTACTTATGTATTTACTATTCAGCCAATATCAATCCAAAACACTTAGCTGCCCAGATGTAACAAATATTGCTAAAAATATATATATTTTATTATTAAACACCTTAAAGAAGTTGGGATTCCTGGTAAAGGTGACAGACAATTTGAAATGCTGCATTTTTAGAATATTTTATTCAAACTGCAAACATCAGGTCCAAGCATCGGTAAATGAGGGGAGTTTTTTTTTTATTTCCCTTGTCAAGTCAAGCCATGTGAAAATTATATCTGTTTTTATCTACTTGGTTGTTTCTGCAGTGTGTTTAGAGTCAATCTGAGTATTAAGCCATGAATGACCAGATAAGACCATTGGTTCCTTACCGACTTCTTTGTTTAATGTTTATGCAGCGCTATAGCTGAAGACTTCATTCTGAAAATCCCACGTAAGCAGCTGGTCTTGTTTTAGTCGCTCTCATTTAAAGTGCCGAACAGCTTAACAAGTGATTTATTGCACATCATCAAACACACTACCAAGTCTATTATTTATCTTGGCATGCATGACACTTGCTATGTTCTGTATGTTGCATATAATAACATTTATTATACTATTTACAAAGAGTTTTGATTTGAGGTTGTTTTTTTTTTTACTGTTTATGCATGATTAATATAATTATAATCAAATTAAAGAAGTTTCTGTTTAATAAACTTTGAAATTACACCTGAATATTTTGCTTCTTGTTCTGTTTATTTCTACGACCAAACAGCACACAGGTGTATATATCTACCTGTAATGGCTTAGCTGAATTGGTAGGATTTATATTTTATTCCTGAAAATTCAGAGCATTAAAACTTAATCTTGCATCAAAACGCAAGTTGACACACATTAAAGAAGATCTTATTTAGATGTGAACATTTAAATGACGCAAATTAAAAAAATCTCAATGTGACGATCTCTGCTTTCCATAGTATTTTGTTTTTATTTCTCTTGTCTTTGGGAAATAAAAAGACTAAGGGAAAATTTATTTTAAAAAAAAAGTAATTATTTTTTTTCAGCCCACATACATTGGAATTTTCCCTCTTTCAATTTTCCAGCTCATCTTAGCATAAATTTTTAAGTTCAGTCGGGCTGGATTTGAACTGAACTCCCCACCCACCCACAAAAATACCCAGCTCATCATATCCTGCTGCAGGTTTGATCCCTGGAGTTTTCGTTTCTTTCTTGCTTGGATTTATGTAATTAGTGTTGTCATTCTCAACACTCTTCTATATTTATTAGCTCAACTGTGTATATGGTTTTTAACTGATCTGAGCACTTCTATAGCAGACATTGGACTTTGAACTTCCCACGTCATCATGGCAAACTGCAGATAACCTATTGATGACCTAATTTGTACTGTGTGGTTTTACACATCGTTGTGAAATGAGCACTGACTGTTTCATCAGAACAGGAATTACACCTCATGATCAATCAGGTGCAGCTTATTGAACTCCCTTCTTGGTATCACATGTTTATGAGTAACAAATGGTTTCTGAGGAGTCACACTGTTTTAGGATGACTCCTGTGTTTATATCAACCATATCCTGTCAGTTTCTAATGATCAGAAATCTGTGGCTCTGTTTTGGGCCCACTTTTTTTCTTCATAGAGTTTCTTATCTCTGTTATCTGCAGAGTTCTTCAAACTGTCTAAATAACGTAATTTCCCAAAAAAATAAATTAAAAACTAATTAAAGAATTAGTTTGAACTTTGAGAAGGTGAAGGGTCAGGTGGTTTCTGCCCTGGACAGCCTGGTCGCTCTGAACCTGTTATGTGACATTTTTTGCAACAAGGTCAGACTGGAGGAATTTAGGTGAATTTAGGTGCAGTTGTTAATAGCACCTAATTGCTGTTAAAACACTTATTTTTCAATTACTCTTAAAAATCATTCAAAACAGCTCATCCAGGATGGGTACTCACATTTTATTAAATATTTTTGATAAAATATTTGAATTAAGAAAATTTCTGTTTGGGATGATTGAGCTCACATTACTCCTGCTTTGCTCCTTATGGTTTTAGAATTTCTTTTAAAATCCTGACTTCAGCTTTAATTTGCTTGGTCAATCTTCTTCCAATGCCATTGAAATATCAAAGACATCTACTATCTGTTAGGTTCACAACCTAAGTCTGCTACTAAGGACACAGCGAAAAAAACTTAAGTGGGTCGCTAATTTTTTTTATGTCGTCTTAAGTCTGGACTAATCTTAAAAAAGCAACTGAAGACATGCTTTTTCAAATTATCTGTACAATTAATTTTTTAAATCAGTTTTTTTTCCTGATCATTCTTTGTGATTTTATCTGTAAATGGTGATATATAGCTAATGTCCTTACATATTTACTCTGGTAACCACTTTTTTGCTTAATATTTCTGACGGGGATAGATTTATTGTTTATATGTCGTACTAAATACTGTGATAGTACTATTTTTTTTTTTTTTTTTTTTTTTTTTTAACTGGTCAAACTGTGGAGAAACCACTGCCTGTAGCCTGCAGTTCAGGGCGGTGGACGGCGGCAAAACAGACAGGAAGTCCCCAAAAGTCCAAATTTGAAATGGGAAATGTCAGAGGCCAAGCCTGAAATCAAAACTTAGCTCAGCTTACTGTTAGGTCAATAAAGCATACTCTAGGCTAAGACTACGAACGTTTCTTCAGATATGTGTTTCGCTTTCCTTTTTGAGACAGGGGCGTGGCGATCTAGGGTTAAAAGACACGTGAAAATTCTAATCTACTTTTGTTCCGAAGTACAGCGAGCACCGAGCAGATGTAAGTAACTTTGTCTTTGTGAAATATTTGTTATTTTGACTGAAATTATTTTAAAAATTGGACTGGTCAGTGATGTCATTAATTGGTCCATAGATAAATTATCTAAAATTCTTCTGGGATTTAAAATTAAATTAAGTTTAACCCAGCTGAATTAAAATATTGCTTATATTGGTTGCTATTAAATATTGTCTTGTCCATTTTATTTTTATGTGATTTATCCTAGACAAAGTTTGTGAATACAAGTCAATTGGTGCTTCTTTGTTGAACGCATTTATTTGAATTTTTTGGCGACTAAGGTATTTATATAGCAATGTGGGGTTTTTTTTTTCCAGCAACATGGTTTTGTCAAAGCAAACTAGAGATTTGACCAAAAATCTGATTCTGATGTATTTAAATTCTAGTCACGCTATTTTTTTTAACCTGTGTGATTTCCAAGGGGTTGTCAGGAGCAGTTCAGTCATTCATTCATTTGTTCCTTTAATGACTGTTTTCATTTTTGCTCTTTAAGCCCTAACCGGAAGGTGACGTCAATTCTTCGGAACGTTAGGGACTTTCCGAGCTTTGTCAGTCTGCGAGCTATTCTGGTGAGTGTTATATAAAATTGAAAAGGGCAGCTGTTTGTGTGGTTTTGTTTTCGTAATGGAGCCTTTACAGTAGACCGTTTGAGCTAATTGTCCACTGAGACGCAGAACAATGAGTTGTGGAGCGGACTAAATCCTTGTTTTTATTAGCATTAGCGGAGGTTAGCTTTAGCGAGCTAACGGCTGTAGAGCTACAAAAAAAAAGAACGTTTGAGTGTTTTTTCGCTGCGTCATTATTTTCGGATTAGATGTTGACTCAAAACATTCAGTTGGCATTTACTCATCTGCTGTGCTAGAAATTAAACGCCATAACGCTAGCAAACGTTTTGGTAAAAATGTAACACAACAAAGCTAATGTACCCGGAACAATATTCAAACGCGAAGGCTTTAGAGGAAATGGAGACTCCTTTTTTGCTTGCAATGTGGTTATTTCCCCCCTTGCATGATGTAAAGGTTAAACAGGTGTTGTTAATCAAAAATGTAGGTTTGGTATGGGAGGGAAACACCGTCCCTTTGGGACTTTCCACCTATCTGTAATTACTTTTGTGGAATCATTAACCAACTAATTGTTTCCAGATGATAAACTAGATTTTAATATATATTTTACACTTCTTTGATTCTTGCACAACACAATTCTAACTTACCGTCTTGTATAACTAAAAATCCCTCAATTAAAATATATGACCTCGTCTCACTAACATTCGCATATATTTTTATACGTATAAAATTAATTTAAAAAGTAGTTTGATTAGGATAAGTTGCACATAGAGATCAACACGACACAGTATGATTCATTTCTAGGTAAAACAACCAAATTATATTGAACTGGTCATGGAAAGAGACGTATAAATAGCTGTGCGCCGCTTATACTGCTGCATAATTCTAATTTGTTGAGAAGGTAAATCATAAAGCCCAGTTAATAATGTACAGTAGATTTTGTTGGTGGAGATAAAATTCTCACTAAAAAAATACACTTCAGCGGGAAATAATAACACAGAGTGAATGTGAATAATTAGGACAAAGACAATGATCACGTCAAACTAAAAATAAATACAAAAAAAGATGTGTAGGAAAACTGTAACCACTCCAAACTGCTTGAGGAAATTCCAGTCTGTCACGCTGAAAACTTTGTAGATTTGAAGGTGAACTTTTTAAAACTTGTTGGTACGTCTATTTACCAAACAGATAGTTCAACAAAGTGTCAGAAATCTGTGTCATATGACAGTGTTCAACTAAAACCAATTGTTACAAGGTGATAATTCAACATAATTAGGTATTTCAAGTATGTTTTTATTTATCTCTCGTCTTGTGTCTCTGCAGGTTCCACCAGAAAATAACTCAAAGGGGGAATTTCATTATCCTCTAAAAGATTACAAATATTTTTTAGTTAGATTTTTAGCCTTCAATTATGGAAGCTTAGACACCCAGAAAAGGGATGCCCCAAACGGGGAGAGGGGTTTGAAAGCACATATTCCCAGGTCTGTATGTGTGCATGCTTGAGTTTTTTTGTTGTTGTTGTTTTAATTTATTTTAATGTTTATCCTTAAGCTTACACAGAAGTTTCAAGGGTTACATATGTCTGTGGTAAAGGTGGAGAACAACAGGGTGTATACTGATCCTGGTTGATCTGTCCCAGGATCAGACTCGTAATGATAATATTCAGGCTGGGTTTGATTCACTGCAGTGCTTTGTTTAATTACATATTTACTTGCACTGTTTCTGACAGGTTTTGCACTTTGGCTTTTGTGCTTCCTGTTAGCTACCGGTAAAAAAATAAGTAGAGAATACGAGCTCTTAAGTTTTATGCGTGGCTTGCCTTCATTTTCACTCTTAAGCGTCCCATCTTGTCTTTGGTTAATTTAGCTGTATTGGCGTTCTCAGTTTCTGTGTGTATGTGTGACTTGAGTGTGAATATGTTTGAATGAAAGAAAGACCTTGGGTTTTTTTCAAACCCCTCTCCCTCGAAGGGACATCTCTTTTTTTTTTTTTTCTTCTTACTATTAATATAAAAAAATCCAAAAATGGAAACTCTTGTTCAGCTAAAAAACAACCAGTTTTTGATGGGACTGTGTCGTAATGGGCCGCCACCTGATCTACAATACGACAACTCTTCAGGTATTTTTTTTACCTTTCCTTTGATGCATTAACTCAAATTTATCTTCATTCGTTTCCCGCTGCTCTCCATCTAAAGTGACACTGTGCTGTTGTTTATTTCCCCCAGAGCTTTATCGCATATCTACTTTCGCCCGCTTCCCAGCTTCCCCCGTCACAGAGCGAAGCCTGGCGAGGGCGGGCTGGTTCTACACCGGCATGGGCGACCGGGTGCAGTGCTTCAGGTGTAACGTGACGGCCGAGGGCTGGCAGGCTGGGGACTGTCCGACAGAGAAACACAGACAGCTCTCGCCTTCCTGCTCCTTCATTCAGAGCCTCCCATCCACCACCAACCTTCTCTCTTCCTCCCACTCTGCTTTCTCTCCACTCCGTATCGCCCAGGCTCTACCAGTAAGATCAAAGACCGTCTACTCAAAAGACGACGTGATTAATACGAGAGAAGAGTCGGCTGAGAAAGCTGATATTGTTTTAAAGTCCCATCGTTCTCCTCCTCCTCCAGCTTCCTGGTCCCGGTCCGGCTGCTCCCAACCCGTCAGTAAGCCAAGTCGAGGATCCGGTTGGTTTCTTGAACACGGCCTTCTCTGCTCTGCCGCCCTCCAGTCCCCTGAGCTCTCGGGGTGTAGAGGACATGTCCCATCAGAGACCCACGTGCCACAACCCAAGCATGCGCAGAGAGCAGGACCGCCTGGACTCCTTCCACTCCTGGACGCTTTCCATCATCACCCCCACAGAGCTGGCTAAGGCGGGCTTCTACTACCTGGGCCAAGGGGACAGGGTGGCCTGCTTCAGCTGCGGTGGACAGGTGGGCATCTAAAGGAGTTATTGACCTTTTTAATACCATGTTTATTCTCTCTGCACCTGTTAACACGATGCAGACAGATGCTATGTAAGCTTTTGGAGCTAATATTAGCGATGCGTTTCCTATTTCAGGATTTCAGATCTTGCCAGATTAAATTCTGAGATTTATCTGTCTTGGTTTATTCATTTTTTCTTCATATAATTGGAAATATTAAATTAAGTGCAGACAACAAAAGTACTTGTGGGTTTACAGTTTCAGTGACATAATTAAAGCATTTATAAAAAAGTCAAACTTATTTTAGCAAAACTATGTACCAAATTTGAGAAGTAAAATTTTGCATTTACATTTTTAAGGTTGTTTAATGTTAAATTTCTGTAAATTATTATAATCATGACTTTATAAATCGAAATGAAACAAAATAATCAGAATTAATTTTTAAGAAATTCATGCTTTTCTTTTTGTGATATTTCCTAAGACACACATTTTTTTTTCTTCCCACAAGTCTCATGTGAAGTGTCGGTGACCTTTGACCAGAGTTTGTCTTGGTTTGCAGCTGAACAACTGGGAACCGGGTGACCGGGCTGTATCCGAGCATCAGCGCCATTACCCAAACTGTCGCTTCGTCCGGGGGGACCGAGCCGATAACGTGTCGCTGTCCGGCGCCGCAGGAACCGTATCTTTAGCAACGACATCCCAGGTGCCAGCTGGAGCCCCAGCCCTCACCAGTGTGTCCAACCCCTCCATGCAGCAGAGCGATGAGCGGCTTCTCACCTTCGTCAACTGGCCGTCTCGTATTCCAGTCCGACCCGAACAGCTGGCCAAGGCCGGCTTCTACTATGTGGGTAAGGACAGCACACTATTACTATTTATTATTAGGTGGCTGGTCTTGTGATTGTTTCCTCATCCAGTGGCTAAACTTTAAGTAAACAGGAATTAGGAACTGCAGTTTTACTAATAGTCTTGTTTGTGTTTATTAATTCTGTAAAGGTGAAAAAAATTTTTCATGTCATGAAAATTACCCTGAAAGAGTGAGCAGGGGATTTTATACAACAGCTTTGAGTGCAAAGTTTCATTTTATTTCACTTGGAAATTCCATGTAGACAAAATTTTTATGGACACAACTTATGGTATGATTGTACCAGAACTCAAACTAGTCTTTCTAGATCATTTAAATTTCCCCCCGGAGAGAGAAAGAGAAAGATGATTGGCACCTTTTGAGATGTTGTCATCATCTGTTGACCTTCCCCAAGTCCCTGAAATTCCCCTAAAACCACATGACACACCTGGTGTATTTATCTGTGTGTATTTCAGGGAGAAACGATGATGTCAAGTGTTTCTGTTGTGATGGAGGCCTGCGGTGCTGGGAATCTGGGGATGATCCATGGGTTGAACATGCAAAATGGTTTCCTCGGTAAATTTTGCCTTTTCCAAACTCTTTTATTATTATTATTATTTATAAAACTGTTCTGATTGTTGAGCATAATTTCCTGATTGTTCTTTTGCAGGTGTGAATATCTGCTTCAGGAGAAGGGACAAGACTTCGTCCACCAGATTCAGGCTCGATTCCCTCGCCTGTTTGAGCAGGTTAGCTCAGAGCATCATTTTGGATTTTACTTGCTGATAAAAAGCTGCTCCAGGTGATTTAAAATGCTATTTTTTTATCTCCAAAAGCTTCTAACAACAGGAGACACCAGCTCCAGAGAGTTTGTGGATCCACCAGGTGAGTTTAAACCCATATGAAGTTAAAAATATTACCATAACAGAGGTTTAAATTGTCCATGACATTTTTTTCTCCATCAGTGGTACATCTGGGTCCAGGAGAGGAGCGGTCAGAAGATGCCGTCATGATGAACACACCTGTGATCAAATCTGCTCTAGAGATGGGCTTCGACCGCAGCCTCGTCAAGCAAACGGTGCAGAGCAAGATCCTGACGAGCGGCGAGAACTACCGGACCGTCCAGGAGCTGGTCTCAGATCTGCTCAGCGCTGAAGACCAGAAGAGGGAGGAGGAACGGGAGATGCTAGCAGAGGCGATGGCGTCAGGTGAGGAAATGACTGAGAAATGTGCTGCTTCTGTGCTGTTGAACAAAAATTTTATGTTTTTTTTTTTTTTAATTTTTTGTTGTTTTAGATGGTTTTACGTTCGTGAAGAGGCATCAGGCGGCATTGGCTCAGCGTCTGAAGAGTGTCGAGCCGGTGTTGGAGCATTTAAGAGAACAAAATGTGTTATGTACGTTAACCTTTTGTTGATCTAATTTAATATAGGCTATCAGATCTTTGAGATTATAGGAATCAACTAATAGGATTAATATTAATCCACATTGAGCAGCTGGCATATGGGAAAGATTTTGTGAATTTAGCTGAACCTTCTGCTGGTTTCCTGTAAGTTTTAGTTTTTTGACTGGTCTCTGCTCACCTGCAGCTGCTGAGGATTACAGCGGCCTCCTGGCCCAGACCACAGCCCAGCAGCAAACTGCCAGGCTGATCGAACTCGTCCTCAATAAAGGAAATGCTGCCGCCGAGGTGTTCCGCAACTGGATCCAGAAAAACGACGTCCATCTGCTCAGAGACCTCATGGGTATGACTTCACCACAGGACACCAACACAGACCTGAGAAGTATGAAAGTTGGCGGCATCGTTTTTCAACTTTGAACACGCTTTGGTTTTATTGAAATGTTGATTTTCTGTAGTGGTAAAGAGTTTCTGCATTTTTAATTTTTTTTGCCTTTATTTGATGATTATTACGTTTTGTTTGCACAAAGCCATTGTTTTAGGTTTTGAGTTAATTTAAGGAACAACACATATAAAAGCCACATTGATTCAGAAAAGGGTCATTTCACAGCTTCAGTGTTTAGACATAAATTTAAAATCATCCACTGGATTTCAAACTGGTTTAAATGCTGAACACAACATGGCATTTGAATTAATGAATTACAAACTGTGCTTCAAATAAATGTCATTAGTGTTAAATAATCCAGACCAGAGTAGAGATATCTAGTCGTAAAGTATTTGGACGACCTACAAAATCATTTTGGTTTTCTGTTGTTTTTTTCTTTTGTTTTTTCAAATATAAATATATAATTATAGAAATACTAAAGCATTCATTTGGTATAAATAATTATTAAAAAATTAAAATCTGAACTTTTCTGGAAAATGTAACAGAAATTTAGTTTCTGGTGAAGAAAAATTTGGGGAACATTTATTCCCACAGAAGATTATTAAAATGATTCAGAGGTCAACTTCAGTTGTAAAACTTGCTAAAAAATCTGAAATGGACTCCAGTAAGAGGAAACTCAAAGTCAGGATTTCACTCTGAAAGTACATTTTTTGTTTTGTTTTATCAAAGCCTGATTTTGACACGTTTTCTTTCCTTTTTTAGCTCAGTCAAATGAAGCTTCTTCACCAAGCCAAGATCTTTCAGGTAATAAAGATTTCTTCCTCAGATTCAACCTAATCTTATGACATTTCTACAAGGAAAATGATCCAATATAAATATAGCAGAGGAAGTGTTAAGAACTCAATGAGCAATCCAGAGTAAGCAATTACTCTGGATTGCTTACTCCAGAGAGTAAGCAATCTCTGGAACATTGCTTACTCATCTTCGAGTAAGCAAGAAGATGTTATAACAAATGACATCTACCCAACCTACAGTCATGTGAAACTATTTGGGTTTGTGATAATTTCCAAAATTGAAGTGGAAAAGTTCACCTACTGTGAATGACTGTTTTTTTTTTTAAAGCCAATTTTCTCTAAAGTTGAAGTTTGACTAATTTATTTATGTTGAACAACAAATCTAACATAATCTTCACACGGACTATTTTAAATTCAGTGTGAAGATGGTCACTGTCCTGTGTGACATCTATATAAAAAGATATTTGGTACTTGAATATGTTTAGTTTATTTTTACTTCTAAGTGTTTGAATAGAAGGCAACACAACTTGGTTCCTAAAAATACTTTCTCGCCTCGGCTTTAGGGTTGAACGCAAAAACATCTAGAAATGAGAAGTCATCCAGTTTCCTTCTTACCTAAATACTAAGTGTCATGTTCTGGATTACTGAGAATCCACATTTTAAATTGCATTTCAGTGATAAGGTTGATATGCGGTTAACACTGTAAAGATCGAGTATTGAGATTTTTTCATCACTTGTGATTTGTCAGTTTTTGTATTGAATTTCATTCATTTAAAACCTCTAGCATTTCATTTAAATTGCGAAGAACTCCAACTACCAGTAAAATAAGTTTGATTCCTTTATACAACAAATGTACCGTCACTGCACGATGTTAACATTAGGTGGTGCAATTGTATTTGTACAGTGTTTAGTTTTTGTGAAGATAGGTTCAGGTTCTTATGATTATACTTGACTGAAACTTTCTGTCTGACTCCACAGACCTACCAATGGAGGAGCAGCTGCGGCGCCTGCAGGAGGAGCGTACCTGCAAAGTTTGTATGGACAAAGAGGTCAACATCGTCTTCATCCCATGTGGTCACCTGGTAGTGTGCAAGGAGTGCGCACCATCCCTGAGGAAGTGCCCAATCTGCAGAGGCCTTGTTAAAGGCACAGTTCGAACCTTTCTGTCATGAGGCAACATGATGCCTAGAACTTAAAGCAAAATGTGTTGTAAAAATAAATTATTTACTTTTAGCCATTTTGTGGCCATTTCATGTAAACTGAAACCAGCCCAAAAGGTTTACTCATCAAGATGTGAATAATTCTTCAGTCTGAAAGTAGTCCCTTTTTTTCCCCTTGTATCAGGTGTGCAATATCCAATCTTCAATCAGTGCAATAACCTTCTGTATAATTAACTCATTTCTTTCATAATCCACTGTATTACTGCTACAAAGTTTTTATTATATTAAACCAGTAAAACTTAAAAGGTCATGTGAATGTGTCATTTGTCCAAGGATACACAATGTAAATCCATCACATTTTTTATTGTAGGTTTTTGAAAATCTATAAACTTTACATGCCACAAATCTCAACATTTGTGGCATGTTCAGAGATTTATAGAATATATTACAATTTATCACTGGGATTTACCTTAAGGGTTACTGGGAGTTCATTTAAAATCACTATGGGCTTATGAAAACAACTGAAGTTAGCTTAGTAACTTCAAATTAAGTTCAACATAACTAGAAAGTTTTCAGGATCTTGCAACAAAAAGTTTATTTAAGGTAGTCTTAGTTTTCAAACCGTTTGGTCTAAAATTACAATAAAAAAAACACTTGCAGAAGTTATTTTATGAATCTACTTGGATACCATGATCTCTGCTTTAAGAGATTTCCATCATGTTCTCATCTTTCAACATATTACCTACGCCTACATAAATAGAAGTGCAAAAAACATAATGGCATTAAAATTTCATTTATATGGGTTGTCAAAAAATAAATTCACAATTTGCCAATCCATAGGTTTAAATCCCAGAACATAAAACTTTAGTTTCCCATCAATGAAAGCAAGTATGTAATATACATACAAAAGGTTTGGTGGTATCTCTTAAAGCATACAAAGACACAAAATTAGTTTTTACAAATATTTATTCTTCCACTTATATTCAGCCAGTTTAGATGATGCCAATCTACAAGAAAAAAGAAAAATGCATGAATTAAATAAAGCTCATTAAAAGTAGTTAATCTAAATCTGAAACATCTGGCATCAGTGGTTCCTTTGAATGCATCACAGACATTCAGATCAAAATAATGTTTACATCACATGCACAGAGTTACAAAATACAGAGGTCTATAAAACAAAACTCACCTTGTTTGCAACATCCAATGCATCGTAATCTGGCGCAAGTCGAACGTAGGCCTTCTTCTCACCATCAGGCCTGAACAAATAATGTGAGTAAACATAAGCAAAAGTATTTCATGAAAGTCAGTTTACAGTTATTTGAAATCACATATGGCCCATATTGGGTTCTATATTAAAGAGCAGCGTGCATATTTATGTAATATTTCATCATGGAAACTAAATGCACAGCCTGGACCAAGATGTCTTACCTGATGAGTGTGTTAACTTTGGCGACATCGATGTCATACAGCTTCTTAACAGCGTGTTTGATCTGATGTTTGTTTGCCTTGACGTCCACAATGAATACAAGAGTGTTGTTATCCTCAATCTTTTTCATCGCAGACTCTGTTGTCAAGGGGAACTTGATGATGGCATAGTGATCCAGCCTGAAAGATTATAAAAAATACATTTAGCATTAGATTATTTCAAGTTGAAAAAACTTCAAAACAAACTAAACTAAAATAGTACATTAACTGAGGTGCATCAGCAGTTAATAAAATTGGACTCATGATTTTTCATACTTTGATCGCATTTACCATCATGTGCACCATGTTTTTGTTGGCCTTTTCGTCGCTGGAGGTCTAAAAACTTACTTGTTCCTGCGAGGAGCACTCTTGCGAGGGTACTTGGGCTGTCTGCGGAGACGGAGGGTTTTAGGGCGACGGAAGGTGGGAGAAGTCCTGATTTTCTTCTTCCTCTGGCTGTGTACGCCTTTAAGCACAGCCTTCTTTGCCTTCAGGGCCTTTGACTTGGCCTCTGTTTTGGCAGGGACAGCTAAAAAAAATAATAATAATTTAATTATTAAAACACTGGATGTCGAACAGTGCCGGCCAGAACTTTGACATTGAGAAAAGTCTTGTTCCTTAATATATTTACAGTTGTATAAGATTTAGGCTACAGAATTTGTTTGATTAAAACTTTTCTCCTCAGGATCAAAGTGTCAGAAACATCAGAATCAAACAAGTTAGCCTTCAAACGCCTTTGAAACACAAAAGGTATAATTTCCAGTCTTCATTTTAAGTCGTACAGCTACAAAAACGTGCACATCAACATGGCTGCTAGATTTCTTAATTGCGTTCAAATGATTAATTCTCCCAAAATTCAACTAAACTCCCAAACCACACTGGGTACTTTCATGCCTTTAAGTAAATGTTGACGGCCATCCGGCACAGTTTAGCGTAGCCACACTGAAGACGCTCATGTTGTTAAAACTCATGCCAACACCAAAACATGACTAATGTTTAAACAAACGGTTGGCGATATATTGTCTGAAACCGTTTTTCCATACCAAATGCATCACAGAGTAGGCTAATGAAGTCAAATTAATGACAAAGTACACCACGTTTTGTCGGCAACATCAGCGCTCACGTTAGCTTAGCTAACCTCTCTCCACCACATTCGCAATGTAGATTACAACCATATTTAACCAGTTGGAAAATGTGAAATTAGACCTTGTATGTCGCCACTGATATATACTTTCAAACAAGTCGTCTGTGTTTACTGTTCGAGGCATTATAATCACAAAATGTGCGATTTATTCATTCACAATTTTAGGATTCACAAACCTTCCTTCTTCGCCTTCGGTGCCATGTTGAGAAAGGAAGAGCAGGTGGGGTTTCCTTCAGTATAATGCAAGGGCGAGATCTCAGAGCATTGTCGCGATATCACAGTGAGTTAATGGTAGCGCTCTCTTTTACCGCATGTGCCCGTCTCCATAAATAAATTAGAATTTAGAGAAGTACATTTATTTCTGTAATTAAACTGAATTACTAAAACTTTATTATGGCTTACAGAAAATAGAAACTCAAAGATTTACTTTCTCATATTTTTGAATATATCATACGAATAATTAAAAAAAAAATTAAAAATGAGACCTGTTCACATGTCCAGTATAAGCTCTTAATAGATGGTCAGGACTCCTTCTACACTAATGACAGCATCAACGCGGCCTGTCATGGAGATGATCAGTTCGTGACTGCTGTGGGCAGGAAGCAGTCAGCCAGGCACTTTGTTAAAGCAGCCTGTCACATTTTTCCCATTTCTTTAGTTAAATTGATACAAACCTAAGACTTCTTCATTGGATTTAAATTGTTCTCACTCATTTTCTTAAGCACACACAGATGCTGCACACTGTGCAGTTATACTAAGAACTGGGCATGAAATGGCTGAGGAAAAAACAGGCAAAATCCAAAATAAAGGATTAAATGACCTCCAGAAACCAAAAGGGAGAGTTGGAATTAAATTTGGGAGTGTTAGAAGTAGGATTAGAGGGAACCCTCCTTTCAACCCATCTTTTAATTTTCCATTCAATCTTCCCTTTAATCCTCCTTCCAGCACTAATTCCAAATTTCATTCCAACCTTACTTCCAACTCTAATTGCCATCATCCTTTCAGCCCTCCTTCCAACCCTAATTTCAACGCTCCTTGTTTAATATAAATGTCATCTTTTATTTGTATTTACTTCACAAATTTAATTCAAATCATGAAACTCAAAAAGATACACTGTGGGCTTTGCTTCATAACCTTCCCATGTTTGTTTTTTTTTTTTTTGCTTTAGCAAATTTTTCTTAAACACTTTTTTTCTTCCACTTAATCTTCCTGGCGACAATCAGCTTTTTAGCAACAGCACTTGTAACTTTATTAAAAGTTTTAATTATCTGCAAACTATAATAATCTAAAGTAATAGAAAAGCTGTAAGCATATTACTCTGTTTGTAATGAATCTATAGATTTCACTTTTTGAATTCAGTTACTGAAATTTTCAATGATATTCTGATTTACTGAGACAAATCTGTAAACACAAACACCAAAGAGTGCAATTTCTCATTTTTAATGTCGATAAGACAGAGGTTTTTAATGACAAAATGGATAAACAAACAGCTGCAAAATGACAATGTATAAAAGGTTTTTCTTTATTCTGATTATAAAATCCAGAACTGTGAAAGCATTAAACAGAATATTCATCCACTGTAACTCCGAACCACCGTCCTCTTGTCCTTTTGTAAATTTTTCATCTGTTTTTCCTGATTTAAAAAAAGACAAAGAATATTATTATTACATGTAGCTCTTATGAAGTTAGTCCTGAAGTTTTAATATTATTCATTATATTATAAGTCATTTAATGGTTTCCTATAAGCATTTTTGGTGAAAGTGATTAATTTATTTGAACTCTAAGGTGTTCATGAATCACTCTTCAACAAGCAGCCGGTGAAGCCCGTGCTTACTTTTTTAACTTGGCTCCTCCTAATTTTGATCCTCCTTTCTGAACTGCTGCTTTAGGTTTTCCTTTTTTCTGTCCTGCTTTTTGAACTTTTCCTTTTGTCTTCTTCTTCTTGTCCTGCTGTTGCGCTGTCTGAGTCCCATTCTCTCCTTTTTGTTTGCTGTTTGACGCTTTCTTATGTTCTTTTTTCTCAGCTTTGACTTTCTTCTTCATGAGGAAGCGAGGGGTTGTGCAAATGGTGCTCCTACTGGGAGGTTTCTTCTCAAGCCTTCGCTTTACTTTGCTGAAAGAAAAACAAAATATCCAAAGTGTGATGATCAAAACTTAAAACGGTAAGGCAGTACTTTGTGTAATTGATACACAGCTTGGGTTGATTATAATCACACATCTCACTTACCTGTGGATCTTTTTGAAGCCAACCATGTAGTCCGGCACAGGGCACCCAGCTTGTTTTATAACATTAGCAATGCTGTTCAGATGAGAAAAACATATACATGTTAGAAAAGAAAAGAAAAAAAAAAGGGAAAATAGCCATCATCTTCCCAATCCTCCATAACAGCTTAGATTACAGAATGTTCACAACATTCAACTCAAGCTTTCCCTCCTGGTTGTTCGAACATAATCGGTTTATTTTGTACCTGCGCAACAACGGTTTGTCATTTTCTGTAAAGAAGGTGATGGCCTTCCCTTGATGTCCAGCTCTGCCCGTACGGCCTGAGGGATAGACAGAGATTCATGAAGAAAAAAAACACGAGAATGAAAAAGCATTTAACAAATTCTATTTAAGTTACACTGCCTCAAAATACTCGACTAATGTTGTAACTTTAGCCAATCTCAAAGTCAAATAAATAAACATTGCTGAACAGT